TGCTTCTGGTGCATTGAAAGATGGTTAATATACTATAATCACAAGCTCTTAAGATTTGCAGGATGTAGAAACTAATGTTGCATCTTCTAGATTGAATGTTAAGAGAAAATTTGTTATTCCTGACTCAGTATATTTTTAATGTCTATTTTTGGGTTATTATCAATCAAAATGAGATTCAAAGATTGGTCAAAGAAGGTTTATTACCTAGTGAGGCAGAGGAGCCTAAACCAAACTTGAGAACCCTGTTTTGAAGGATAGATAACTCTAAGGGCTTCATCAGCCAGATGAAATAGACATAAAGGACAATGGGAGTCGGTACACACGGACACGTGTGGTCTTGTGAACATCCAAGCAAGATTACTCACGTTTTGGATAAATTTACCTGTTGCGACACAAGTCTTATACTTTTGGTATATTCCGAGAGGGTCAAGACTGATGTGGAGCACAGATTAGGTAAACTTATCAAGACACTTCGATCTGATCGAGGATATGAGTATTTCTTAGGATACTGCAAAGACTATATGGTCAATGAGGGTGTTGTGTACCAGTTTTCTGCAATTGACGCTAAATGCATTTAGGTGTCAAATAGGAATAACAGAATTCCACTTAACATGGTTAGATCTATGATTAGTTATGCTATATTATCTCTTTCATTTAAGAGTTTAGCGTTAATGACATCGATGCGCATTATGAACTGCATTCCATCTTAGTCTGTCTCGAGGATACCGTTGAGCTGTGTTTTTAACTAAATCTTAGTTTGAATCACATGCACATATGGGGTAGTCTTGCACATGTGCGCTTGATATGGACAAGTAAGTTGGAAACAGATCATACGCATGATAGATTTGATAGATACTCTAAAGATCACTAGGACGGATTATTTTATGATCTCAATGATAAAAGTTGATTGTTTACACTCACTGTTTATCTATAGGAGAATCATATTATGAATCATATACTTAGTAGCATAGTGTTAGAGAATATGGTATGAGTACCGGATGTACCACATATGAACACACTTATTATAATAGAGATTGAGAATAATATATGAATTCCCTATTAATGCGTTAGCATCATTGATTTCTGCATCGGTACATTGATGTAGTGGGAGGATCATCCAATCCGATAGAATCATGTTTTTAGGTGAGACCATTATGGACATCCTTGTTAAACATGAGTTGGACCCAGTAAGCTACACGGAAGCGTGAACCGATATGGATACAGATCGTTTTGGCGAGTTACTATGAAATCAGAGTTGGAATCTATGTATTCTAATAAATTCTGGGATCTTGTAGAACTTTCTAGTAGGGTGATACCTATGGAAGGTAAGTTAATCTATAAAAAGATACCAGAAGATTTTTTAGTGAATAAATCATGAGTGTATAAGGGAATGTCATTATTTTTCTTAATTTTATATATTGATGACATCCTACTCATTTATAATGACGTGGAAGTTTTGTCATTAATAAAAGGTAGTTGTTCAATTACTTTTAAATGAAGGATTTTCAAGATGTAAGCTATATTCCTAGGATCAAGCTTTTGTAAGATCGGGTTAAAAGGAAAATATGCTTATCTTAATAATCCTACATTGATAAAGTTTTGACCAGGTTTGGTATGCATAACTTAAAGAATGAGTTCTTGCTTAATTGATATGGATTGCTCTCTCTATTAAGTAGGTTTCCAAGACTAGCAGAGGAGATTGAGCAAATGAGACTGTAACTATATGCTTTGGCATATGAGAGTCTCATATATGCCATGGTCTATACCAAACAGGACGTCCGCTACATAGTAGGGATAGTCAGTAAAGATCAGTCCAATACTGGACTTGACAACTGGTCTGTTGTGAAAAATATCATTAAGTACCTAAGGAGAATCAATGATATCATACTCATTTATGGATGTGATGATATGGTCCTAGTCAGGTATGCTAGTTCTGATTATTAATCAGAAGTAGATAATATGAGGTTCATGACTTAGTGTATGTTCACTTAGTGGAAGGGAAATCAGTTGGTAGATTGTTAAGCAGATTTCAACTGCTGACTCAAACCTGTAGGTGGAATATATTGCAGCCTTAAAGGCGGCAAATGAAGCCTATTAGGTTGATCTCACTGATTTAGAGGTTGTGGAGTATACTAGCCTGCCTATTGAGCTATGTTATGACAATAGTGCAGAAGTAGTCCAAACCAATGACCCAAGGTTCCATAGAGGAACAAGATACACTGAGAGGAAGTATCATGTTCTACATGATATTGTCCGGCAAGAAAATGCACTTGTAGTTAGAACATTGCATTGGAACACAACTTTGTTAATCCATTATCAAAGATGTTATTGATCAATAATTTTGATCATCATCTGGATAACATTGGAGTTAGGTGCAATTTGAATTGGCTATGAGGGCAAGTGGGAGCTGTTGGGATTTATATGCCCTGGCATAGCAAATTCCTATCTGGATTATAGTGACATATGTTCCTGACATATCTGAAATATTTATGATTTATATAATTGGTGAATTCAATGTATTATGTTTCGATTCACTATGAAATTGATAGTGTCCATGTAATTACAAGAAATATTTATATATATGTATGTGATGGCAATCAATGCATGATATATAAATAGTAATTATAAATTGTTCATAGTCGGTAATTATGGATGGACTCATAATTAATTAAGACTTGAACTGGATCCGCGTTAGGTTGAGATATATTGCGAGAGCCGTCGTATGCAATTACTCTCTATCACCGTCATGGCATTTGACTCTTAAGCATGAGAAACGTATAGACTCTTTTATTAATTAATAATTACTTTGATTTGTTCGGCGGATTCTTCGGGATCCTTAGACCGACACTTTGGGTAGTTATGTAATTAATAGTTAGAGGGTTATATTTTCAATATTTGCATCATTGCTACTTGTATTTATTTTGTATTGATTATGGTTGATCACAAAGTAAATTCGAAGGCCTTCGTGTGGTTTTAGACAAAATAATTTATTATATATTTATTTATTTAAATTATTATTTTTGTCAAACAAATGTTTTATTGTGATCGAGCCAGAAATAATCAGAGGTTCCAAAATAAATATATTAATTAAGTAGTCGGATTGATGGCATTATTTATCCGATACTAATTATGCATAGAGGGGTCAAAGTGCAATATTGACTTAGTGGTTATTTATTATTTAATTGGAGTTCAATTAATTTCTTTTAGTGGAGTAGAAATTAATTTATGAATTAATTGAATTGGGTCCATGGACCGGGCCAATTATTAATTCATTGTAGCCAATAAAATAATAGACCCAATGGATTCTCACTCATAGCCCAACTTGATATTGGAATCATATTAGATTTGAGACATGTGAATTAGAGATTGAGAAGGATTAGTTGTTTCCTTTTCTTTACCTTTATGTTGCCTATAAATATACATGGTCTATGTATATTTTAGGGGTGATTTTTAGTAGAAGGAAAAAGGAATAATATTTTCTCTCTCTAGAAAATTAGGGTTTATGTTCTCATCTAATGGAGGTTCCCACAAGCCTAGTTTTCCAAGGTAATTCATGGAGGCTTATGAGTGATTTCTAAAGGCAAAATAATTACCAAGAAGATGGAGATCCAAGGAGAAGGCATCTTGCTAAGGGATCTACAATAAGTGAGAACATTCACTTTAGAGGAAAGTTTTAAAAGTTTACTCAGACCTTTGATGTAAGTATTCAATCCATTAATTGAATGATACATCATATTTTTATTTTTGCATAAAACTTGTTTCTATGTGATGAATCAAGATTTATGAATCAAAATCCCTCGAAAAGTTTTTAAAACTTGCACGTTTCCCAACACTCTGTTTCAGAAAAGCAACCAAGTTTGGTGGCTGCTTTTGGGAAGCGATTGGTCGGCGTGAGAATGGCGGTCGAGCTCTCTCTTTTTCTTCCTTCCATACTTTGATTGGCACAACTGGAGATTAGCTGGTGTATCTATAATTGTAAATTTGTAGTGTATTTAGGGGTATTTTAGTCTTTTCATTTAATTCTTTAGGTTAGAGACCATTTTTGACCAAGTCAAAGAGTATTTAAACAATATTACAGGGTGTCAAAGCTCGGTACACGACGGTTGAGTGTAAGTGAAAGCCGAACAAATATTTATAATGCGAGTGATAGTAATTTAAAAAAAATATTTGACTGTAACATTTAGCCAAGAAAGAGTATTAGTAAATGGTAATTCCACATAAGACATCTAGTAATTTTTTCAAGAAAGGGCATGCACATGCTGTATAGCACTGAGGATCAGCTCGAATAGAGCACATACTTTTTATAGAGATAGTTGGATACATAAATGTATTAATTTTTTTTAGATGGAGCACATATGTTCTCTGTAGAGATAATTGGATTAAGAAATTTTTTAAAACATATTTTATTTTATTTTTTATGTATCTCCAAAACTTTATTAATTTGATGATTAATAAATAGATAATTTATTGTCACACTAACTTGCATGAAGAATTTAGTGTATTACACAGAAAATTGGAAGATTGCAAAATACTGTAGAGCGTGAATATTCCAAAATATGTTAGAGCTTGTAGATATGTGCCATGTGTAGAGTATGAGAATATTTTACAAGAATACAAACTTTTGTAGAGTTATATAGATATTTATGAAAAAAATATTGAAAAGTGGATAATCAAAATGAGTATAAATAAGTAAGGATGTTATTTATAACAAACAAGATGTAAGTGGGCGAGTGTATTTGTAGAATAATTGAACAATTTCGAAAGTAATATACCTTACTGAACATTTATGAAAATAAATGAACAATTTCTTGACTAATAAACCTCCCGCATGTATTAAAATTGATGTTGGTATTCGAGAGAGTAATTAAGTATAATTATAGAACAGAGTTTTACCGCGGATTATCTTCCATTGTCCCACCTTACATTCACCCTCCCCGTCCGGATTGGTTGAGAATGTACAGTTAGCGGTTATATTCATATATATTGTTTAACAAGTTAAATAGATTACAACTTAAATAGATAATATTAGAAATGTGCAAAGGAGATACATGTCAACTTATTACAAAATTTGTAAATAGACTTGTACCATTTCTACTTTACATACATACACATCAAACAAAAGTATACAGTAAGAAGAGCTTGTTAACTTTATTGCACCATATGTTCACATATCCAATCCATTGCTTACAGATCCATTTCAAAACAATTTGAACAGCAAGCCTCCATGAGCAGCGAAAAATGGAGCAAAGACGAGTGATTCAACTGCCATAAGCTTGATCAGGATATTGAGTGAAGGACCAGAAGTGTCCTTGAGGGGATCCCCAATGGTGTCACCTATGACAGCAGCCTTATGACATTCTGATCCTTTGGGGCCCAGTGTTCGAGCATGTTCAGAAGCACCAGCCTGCAGAAACCACATTAATTTAGGACATCGAAATGCAAAGTGAAATGTTGACAAAATAGGTGAGTCCGTCTCAAAAATAAAATGGAATTATAGACTCGGATAGGTTAAGTTGCAGGAGCAAATGATCTTCACCTCTATGTACTTCTTTGCATTATCCCATGCCCCACCGGTGTTAGAAGCTGAGATAGCAACCTAAAAGGACAAGAGGGAGACATAATATATTAGAGAACCATAATATATTAAGATCATTGTATGTAAATTCTTTTAGGAAAACCATTGACAGACTACAAATATGCCAAAGTAATTGAAGAACATAGCCTGCATAAACAAAAAATCGAAAGGAAAAACCACAACTAACTGAGAGCAAAAAATTTAAATTTCGGTAAACACCAAGAGAAGAAAGATTTTACAAAACCAGCATACCTGAACGCCAGAAACAAGTGAACCAGCAAGAACACCAGCAAGTGTTTCCACTCCAAAGAAAGTTCCGGCAATCAGTGGTGTAAGCATAACCAGAGCACCAGGTGGGATCATTTCCCTTAGTGAAGCATCAGTAGAAATCTTGACACACATTGCGTAGTCTGGTTTCCCTGTTCCTTCCATAAGTCCTGGAATAGTGTTAAACTGCCTGCGTACCTCTTCGACCATTTTCAGAGCTGCACTTCCCACACTCTTCATTGTCATGGCTGAGAACCAGTAGGGAAGCATGGCCCCAACAAGCAACCCAATGAAGACCTTTGGAGTCAATACATCAACAGTTTCAATGCCTGCTCTGCTCACAAAGGCACCAAAAAGAGCAAGAGAAACTAGAGCAGCCGATCCAATTGCAAAACCCTGACATGAAAAACGGAGGTATCATAAATTTCTTAAATCAGAAAGCTCAAAAAGTGTTGATGGTAGCTTTCACGAGATCATCATTATACCAAATCAGGAGGCAACACATATAACTAGTTGCCTTGCCTGACTTATAATCCATACAACCTTCACCAATAGAAGGCAATGAAGACTATATGCAGACTCAAGATCTAGATGTCAGCGTCTGTAAATTCATTCTAAAGCATGGCTATAAATTCCGCAAAGAAATAAATTATATCTCCTACCAAAAAAGAATAATATAACCAGAAGCCACACCTTGCCAATGGCAGCAGTGGTGTTTCCAGCAGCATCCAGAGCATCAGTTCTTTCTCGTATCTTGTGGCTCATTCCAGCCATTTCTGCAATACCACCGGCATTGTCGCTAATGGGGCCATAAGCATCAATTGCGAGCCCAGTAGCCATAGTGCTAAGCATTCCAAGAGCTGAGACTGCGATTCCATACATAGCTGCCAAGCTGAAGCTCACATAAATAGCAATGGCAATGGCAAATATAGGAATGATGACTGATTTGTATCCCAGAGCCAGCCCAAAAATCACATTTGTTGCAGCACCAGTTCGGCAAGAATCTGCCACATCCTGCACCGGACTGCAAAATTTTGGCAATGATGATAAGCATCATTATTAGAGACTGAAGACTTAAATGCTGATACACATACACGTATGCATAGAAACCATAGGTCAGGATGTGGTGCCCACCCAAACAAGATAATTCATAAGTTATTACGGATAGAAAAAACACTTGTTTTGAATGGTTATTATATCTTCGGCTAAGATAACAGTATACAAGTCAGAAAGAAATCTAGAGATCACACAAACATCAAATGTAACTTTCAAAAAGCTTTGATGATCCAACATATTATTTTGATTCCAAGTTGAATCAGAATTCTGAAGTCTTGCTTGTATAAATTTCCAATATTGAAATGAAATATTCAAACATTTATTGAAATGAAATATTCAATTTTTCAAAAAAGTTCAAGCTATATGTCGGAAACAAAATCAAATCTTAACTCAATCAGGAAGTTTAATGGTTATTGTATGCTACATGGAAGTAGAACCGTGGAGGTAGGAATACTCATTTCACTTGTATCACAACACCAAATTGAGCGTTTTTATTAAAACCATAGGTAATAATGTGGAAGGTTGATGATCATTACAGTGAGGAAGATATAAGTCACCTACCCACAATAATGAGAAAAAAGGAAGATAACTACCTGTAAGCATTGCTGGTGTAATACTCGGTGGTATACCCAATAACAAGACCAGCCCACAAGCCAATTGCAACACAAAAAAAGAGGTGCCTGCAGTTACATAAGATGAAGTTAAATACATGTAATTCCACAAGGCAAAACATTAACAAGGCAGGTCGGAAGGGAAACTAGAACAGTACCAGTTCTTTACAACCTTGCTGGTCCCAAAGTTGTAGAGCGTGAATTCTGATGGTAATGTAAAAAAGGTGACCATGGCGATCCCAGCAGTCATCAGGACAGTCGAGATAACAAGTTGTTTCTTCAAGGATGGTTCAATCTCGGTCACATTCTTAATCTCAAACATATCAGTTGCGAAAAGTGTTGTTATCAAGCAAACCACAATACCCATTGAACTTATAATGAGAGGATAAGACATGGCTGTGTAGTCATGAGTGATACCAAAGGACGAAATTGATGCAACAAAGAGTGCTGCGCAAGTAGATTCAGCATAAGACCCAAACAGGTCAGAACCCATTCCAGCAATGTCTCCGACATTGTCACCAACATTATCCGCAATAACCTGAAATTTAAAAAAATAATAATAATAAAAATAAAAAATAAAAAAAATCATTTTGATTGTGTATTTTATGATATCTGTCACAGGGAATGTATGGAACAGATTGAAAACATTAGGTATGAAAACTTACAGCGGGGTTGCGTGGATCATCTTCGGGAATATTTCGTTCAACTTTCCCCACCAGGTCAGCACCAACATCAGCTGCTTTTGTGTATATACCTCCCCCAACTCTTCCAAAGAGCGCCATTGAAGAACCGCCAAGTCCATAGCCAGTAATAGACTCGTAGAGTCCCTCCCAGTCATCGCCATAGTACAGTTTAAATAAGTTAATAGTGGCATACAGAACCAGAAGGCCATTGGCAGACAGAAGGAATCCCATCACAGCACCAGATCGAAAAGCTGTTATAAATGCCTTCCCGACACCCTTCCTTGCTTCCAAAGTCGTTCTAGCATTAGCATAGGTTGCAATCTTCATCCCAAGGAAACCCGAGAGAACAGAAGTAAGAGCGCCGAGAAAGAAGGAAATTGTGCTAAAGATGGCATTGGCAAGGGCTGGTTTACAAAGGTTTCCCTGATTATATGTGCAAGGTTCACTTTGGGTGCTGAAGCCCTTGACTGATCCAAGGAAGAGAAAGATGATAACACTAAATGCAACCGTGAAGATACCAAGGTACTTGTACTCGGTGAATAGAAATGATGTTGCACCTGGGAACATGTCATGAATCACATTAAGTCCATTTAAGATTACAAGAGCGTTCTACAAAAAAGACACACCAGTTTCATTAAAAATTAAATTAAAAGACTTCCAATCAAAATAATTTAGGCAAATGTGACGCGTGAATGTGTAATTGCGCATATATAAACTAAGTATGGTGGAAAGTGTAGAATTATTAAGAAAATTATAGTAGCATTGATCTTTTTTGTTCTTTTATCAGTCTTTCAGATCACACCACACACAGTCATGCCAAAATCAATAATTATTGTGAATAGTCAGTAACATTAAAGTGAAAAACAGACTAAAGAAATATTCTTCCAAAAGAAATGCAAACAATTTTCAAAAGTTTTTGGACCATTTCATGTATGTCATCCAAATGATTGTCGAGAATATTGTAGATATAGTCCTGACAAATGTATAGGTTACAATAAGAAAAGGAAATAAATATCTACCAATAAAATTTGCACCAAAATCTTCACAGCCACACATACAAGATCTGAAGGAGAATAATTGAGGTGTTCATATATAGACCATAAGGGGAACTTACTAACTTTATCATTGCAAACAATGACTACCTGAAAATTGTAGGACCTATCATAGCCCCATCAAGAATCATTCATGGAATAGAGACCAACGGTAAAGGATGACAATCATCAACAACGTTCTCTCTCTTGTAATCAATTAAACAGATACTGGTATATTAGCAAGAGCAATGATACTCAAAATGAACAAAGTAACCAAATAGAGAGGCCGAAGCCTCTCCATCCATCAGATAAAACAAGCGAGACCCCAACATGGCCCCCACTTGTTGCATCTGATGGATGGAGAGTCTTCGGCCTCTCCATTCGACTGTTTGCTTCGCCTTTATAATCATTTACCTATTAGCAATTAAAAGCATACAAAAAGATCAAATTCACAGAGTGAAATTTCGTAGGTCAGAACGGTTAAATGGACAACTCCTCAACCACATAATCGAAACAGATAGATAGAGGTATATGCTACTGGTCAACCATCTCTGTACTCTTCTTTGCAGGAACCATGTATGTAGATATCCAAAGACTTGAGGAAGAGGAGATGGTTGGGGGTGTTGGAAACCACAAAACAATACAAAATTTTGAAAAATTGACGTAGCAAGTGAACTGTATAAAAGTAGACATAGAACCAGAATAATATAAACAGATCAGGCAGAGTAGGTAGACTGAAAGACACAAACATAAAATATGAAATCTTTTCTGTAGTGACAACACCAAAATTAGCATGTTAAACAAAGAACATGGCTTCAAATATAATTATATATATATGTATAATTGATTTATTGGAGGAAGGGGCCGGGGGTGACATCTGCTTGCTTAACACGTCTTTTATCATAATGATCAGAGAATAAATGATCATGATAGACAGAAATGATGAAAATGATGATGAAGACAGTACTTCAAAACTGAATAATCACGCTAAATTATTAATGCCACTAACAGTGAAAAATAAACACTCTATCCATCTATACAGAATCAATATAGCAAATCAAACAGAAAGAAAAAAGAATTAATAACATTTAGACATATAAATCCAGAACAATAAAGAACAAACAACAAACATAATAGTAATTGTTGCAAAAGGCCACATAATTATTATAATAAAAGAACAATTAGGATAATCTGTCAATCCAAACAAAAAAGGAAAAAGAAAGGAAACAGAGGAACAAGAAAAAAGAAAACTGCAAAAAGAGAAAAGTGAATTTATCAGTTCATAAGCATACCCCTAAAAAAAATTACCATATAACAAACAATCAGAACAGAACAATCAGAAACAAATTTTTTAATTGGGAATTCAAGTAATTATGATAATCACTAAGAAACAAACTACCCTCAATTTGAATAACTCTGAATTCACCAAAAAACAATCACAAAGGACGATTTGGTATTGTAAAAAAATGCAAATTAAAAGAGTAAAAAACCAACTAGGTCCCTTTGAAAACCATGAAAGCAGCAGGAGACAGATAGAGATAAGAGAGAGGGAGAGCTCACCGACAGAAATGGCATTCTGAATCTCAGCACACTTGTAAACAGCCTCATCACTATCAATACCCTCCTCTTGTTCATCTTCGTCAATCAACCTGTCCTTGTACCCATTTTCCGAACCAGACCCACTTGAAACCCTCACCTTTGACACCAGAAACCATTGAAGCAAAGCAAACCCAATTCCAATCAAGGCAGACAAAGGTATCAGAATCTGTGTTAGGCTCTCTCCCATCAAACCCATTTCAGAAAATAGAAACGCTCAATTCAATGCTCCACTGCTCTTGAACTCCTTTTTTTGGCAAATAGCCACAAAACAGTGTTGACAAACAAACAGGGTCTTATCCCAAAGGTATTTCAGTAGTGGCTTTGCATGGATTTCTTGGAAGTCGTGAAGTGTGAACTGGTTGGTTTGATTGACTGGTGGATTTCTATTAGTTTAATCCCTTGGACCCAGTAAACCAGTAGGTTTGATTTTTGGCTTCCCACTTTGTCTTTATCTACTTGTGTTTTGCCATCTGTTTCACAGATCAAAAAATTACCACTATACAGGAAGATGATTTTGAAAAATAACAAATTGGAAGAAAAATCAGTGATTAAATTCATTTATTGTTTATATATATATATATATATTGTTTTGTTTAGTACTTCCTCTCTCCATATTAATATTAGTAGTTGGCAGAGAAGTAGTTATTATGTGGCAAATGAAATGAGTATAAATAAGTAAGTATTTAGTAATACTTAATAGCATAATTTTTTTAATAAATGAATAAATGTGCACTTGTATAAGAGTCAAATTCAATCATTGATTGAGTATCACGCCAAATGTTCGGGTAAGTTCATCCAAGGTAGACAGAGTAAAAATAAAAAGTCTCATACACTGTAGAATTGGTCCTTATTAAACCCATTCACATGTTATATAACTTGTAAATTCGAAATGCTAGACCAAATTAATTGTTATATATATAACCTATGTGATAAGCCTAAGGTACAAGTAAATGACGTAGATGTTCTTTTAAGGAGATACGGTGGATGTACCAACATATTTATTTCACCTTATGGAAATTTATGTACCTCTAACTCAAAGGCCATGCTATATATATATATATTATTTAATCAAGTCAAGTTTCAAATTTTAATAAACATTTTTATGTATATGAACTTGAAGATGAACATGAACTTTGCTGGCAGTTTTTCACTTTTTCAATTGTTTTGTGGAACCAATTTTTTAATATTTTTTTTTTCCTCTAAATCCTCAAAACAATGATTTTTATTTCTAAAGTTCTTAGAAAATTTTCTCAAGTGACGAAGCTTGCAATCATTTGGAGAAAAAGTACTGGTCCACTATTTGTAACATTGTTTGATTTGTTTCCAGTCATTATTAACAGTGTACATAAGATTCACAGGGTATGAAAGTCATTGCCTTTTATCATATATGATCTTTACACATTGATTTAACGATCGTGATCCAGGCATGTCCGAGGGGAATTTTCCTAGGAAACAAACAGAAGAAGTCAACACCCCATTTGGGTTTTCTTAGCCACAAAGTATAGCACTTTGTGAACATGTCTGCTTAATATAAGACCTATAAAAGCAATACTTATATATATATATATATATATATATATATATATATATATCATGTTAGATTTTTCTATGAATTTAATATTTTGTGTTACCTTTACTATGTTTTCAATTCAAATCAATCCAGTGAATCCACCACTAAGCCTTATTTTTTTATTTTTTATTTTTTTGTCCCTTCTGTTGTCCACTCTCTTCCAGCTAGTCAATTCTAATAAAAAGAAAATTATGACAAGATAGAACTTGATGCAATATAATATATATATATATAGATGATATTTATCTCCTTTATATTTATATATATTATTATATTTATTTCCTTTTGGTTGTTAAGAGTAGCACAACCGTTGAACCTACTCATTTGAAAATTCTAATTAGTGATATAGGAATTCAATTGGATAACTGTCCAATTGAATTTTTGTGAGAAAGGGGACGAGTTTCATGACAATTTGATTATATTATAGAATTCATCAACACATTCACATAAATTAAATTTGATAATTACGGATCTTTAAATTATTATTCTTTAAAAATATATGCATTGATTGATGCTCAAGCAAATGTGTTCTGAATAAGGAGACCTCGCATGGTCAAAACCTATAGTTGGAAAACTTAAAGAAAAAAAAATTAAATGAAGAATTTAGCTGAGATCATAGGCATATCACACAAACTTGGACAATCCCATATTTTAATAAATGAATTATGCAAAAAAATAATAATAATAATAAATATATATATATATATATGCAATTCATAGGAAATGTCACATTGGAATTAATCACATGAGAATTGAATAAACATAATTGATCGTTTCTTAAATGGTTCATTTGTTTAATACTCATGAAATAGATGTGAGTTGAGACATGAGCAATGATATTAATGCTTTTGGACTTACTTATATGGACGGCTCTAAAAAAGGACAACGAGAAATACATGACAAAGCTCAATATAATTTGAAATTTAAGACGAAAACTTTAAATGGAAAATTGTTTGAGATGAATATTTTATTTATAATATTTATGCATTTTTCTTTTTCTTTTTCATGTCTTATAATAATCTTGTAATTTTCGTCATATAAAATAGGCCTTTTAAAGTCATACGACTTTATAGAACATATTCCTAAATTAGTGTTAATAATTGAAAACTTCAAATAAAAATAAAATAATGGATCTTCTATCATATTGTTTAAGGCGCTTTACCTTATTTATATGAGAAATGATTATTTGACTGTACTGAGCTAGACAAAACCTTAGTTGGTGGATGTAACAAAGTGGGACCCAACAATAAAATAATTCCAAAAAAAATGTATATTAGATGAATTTTTAGAAGGTTAAAACTAATAAAACATAGTAAAAGAGAAGAGTTTTAGTAGTCCTGGGTCACAAATTAAATATCCGTATTTAAATATCTAACTCTTAAAAATTATATTTTTTTTATAACATTACCAATCTAACGAACTTATAAAAAGTAAACAATCACATTATTTGGACCAACTACCAACTTATCTAATACTCTTTCTATCTCAATTTAATTATCGCTTTTGGAAAGTAGTAATTTTTAGAGAAATATGTTGGACATGTATTGTTTCCGTGAAAAGTTACTAAATTACTCTTTTAAATGGGATAGAGGAAATAATTCGTTATCATTACAATAAAAATATATTAAAACTCACCATCTTAAAAATTAAATTATCTAAAAGAAATATTTAATTATTTAAATTTATTCAATTTATTCTAGTTATTACATTTATTTTTTATTTTATTAAATGATGACCTATATGTGATCTATAATATTCTCAATTACAAGTATATGAAGGATAACCTTATCCAAGACCAATCCAAATCCTCATAAATCGTGGCCGCATAAACCCGATAAATGATACTATCTACCATTCTTTCATTCTTGGATTGTTGATCGATAAAACAAACAAGATTTGTTTATTTTCTCACTTTTCAAATATTGATAACTAAATGTTTATTGTTTAGTCACAATGTTGATGGGTGGCCTGACAAACGACACTGATATTGAGGAATTTGCGTGACATTGATGTATGAAAAAAAATAGATCAGACAAAATAAGTATTACAGCAACAATTTAGATTAAATTATATTGATTTTTAAATTTTTAATTTTTTCAATTTAATATAGTAGTTAATGAAAATCTTGTTTGAGAAAAAAAAAAATAAAACATTATTTGTCATTTCAAATTTATTTTTTCAATATCACATGATTATCATATCTTCATAGATAAAAGATCGAGTTAAAAAAAAAAAAAAAAATGACTAATTTGTGAATTCCGTCGTTGATGAGTCAATAATAAATTACACACCCATTCACAATTCGCCCAATCCTAACCGATTGTCATCTCTAATGGTTAGTAATGATGGTTGCTATAGTTTAGTGGACCCATCTATAGTTAGTAGTGGCCATTCAATATGTTATCAACGATGGTTCAATTCGATGCCATCGGATTGAAGATCATCAATCAGCTCAAAGCCAATGTAAGTCTCTCTCTCTTAATCACTATACATGTATATATATAAGTTACATGCTCATATATCAACAAATACACTAAACCCCGTCAAATTGAAGAATTGAGAGAGTAGTGTCGGACATTTTATAGCACTCATAATTTATAAATGGTCACATGCAGTCTTCTGTTTCACAATTACTGAAAAAAAAAAAAAAAAAAACGTTTGATGCCCTCGGGAATTTAAATTCCCGAACTCTAGAATCCGAGAGAGATTATGAAGTCTAGATTTTCCAAATCACTGCATACAGCAACAGCCAAACCAAAAACAAAGTAAAACAGTAGTACAACACTTCAAAACTTTACAACAAACTATAAACTCGAAGTTCAATACTATCTCAATTCAAATAGGTGGCAGATAAGTTCGGGTGGCGAAAGTCAGTGAATAAGAGGTCTCCTCGGACAAACCCTTAAATAATAATAATAATAATAAATAAAAAACTAATGTTAAAAAAAAATTCCTGCAAATTGATACCCAAGCTATCAGTAATCTCCCAGATAATGCTTCCAGTAGATTGAGTTTTTTGGGACTTTGTTTATGAAGAACTTGATTTCTATGCCACCAAATAAATATACCAAATATGCCCATAGAGAGGTGTGAACATTATTATCCTTGTAATCTTGTTTGTCATGTTTTTGTTTTTTTACTAGACTGAGCAATAAAACAGTGCAGCAGTTGGTCAAAATAACATCAGCTAGTCACAGATGTTCCAAGTCTAGAATTTCAACAATTTCCTGCATAATTGTTTGAAATATTTCAACTTTGCAGTCCCATGTTTCTAAAAATAAATTTCGAACACATTTTTTTTTTTTTTTTTTTTTCAAATTTGGAGTCATATATTCTAAAATCTCAACAAATAAATAAATTTTGTGTCATGTTTCTAAGTCTAAAATTTCAATAAACCGTTAACTTCATCGCAGGCAACGGTTCTAAAGCTTTTAGCCAATTCCATCACCAGAATCTTGAGGTTCTCAGAGAGGGATTCCATTGCTGCCCTTGCAAGTAAGTAGAGTCTTGCACCAGTTCATTAATATCCATTGGATTTAGGCTCCGTTTATTTTGATGAAAATTTTTTTTCTAGAAAAAGATTTTTCTTTTTCAGAAAAAATATATTTTTTAATTTTACTTTTACAATGTTTGGCAAAGGTCCATCTATCCGGACGTGTAAAATAACTTACCGAATATTAATGAGTATGTTATTTTTATTAATTTTAATTTTTTTTTTATTCGTAAATATCCCCCGACAGTCAAACGCTAAAAAAAATAAAAAATATATTTTCTGAAAAATGTTTTACATTCAAATAAATGCGGCCTTACTCTTATAGCTTTTCCGCCTCTGTTGGCTGTTGTTTTTTTTTTTTTTTTTTTCTTGGTTTGCCTGTTGGTTGGGCTTTCCTTGGGCCGTTTTGCTCTTGTAATATATATGTATGTATACACATATTTGTTAGGGCACGGTGCAAAAAACTCCTTTCAATTATGTCTTATTTAGCAAATAGCCTCCTAAACTATAAATGTGGCAACGTAAATGACAACAATGACCTTGTGAGTTTTTAAAGATGATAGTACCCTTCTGCTATATACATATATACATATTTATATATAATGAGTTCATCAAGCTCTCTCTCTATATGTACACCGAATTCATCAAGCTCTCCTCCTTGTGCCAATCAAAATGTGTGTGGTTATTTTATCACCACGTGTTGTTACGTTTCTTAAAAATTTCCCACTGTTTTTTTAAGCGATTAATTTCCCTACCTTCCTTAATTGATTTGATAGCTATTAGTCTAATCCCTACTTTCCTTAATTGATTTGATAGCTATTAGTCTAATTCAAATGGAAGACCTTGTTGAAAGACTAGAATTCTCTCTCTATCCATTAGTAGCTGTATCTATTCGCCTCTCAAATTTTCGCGGTGCACATTCATTCGTGATCAAGAAGTGCGAGCCTTGGCCGACTTGTCACTTTCTACAGCTCTCTCTCAATTTGCAACTCTGTTTGGTTTCCTTGGACTTATCCACCAAAGGAGAGTGAACGGCGGTAAATGATGGCGGCTTGGTTGTGCATATTTAATTCATTTGTAACGAGTTAAATATGAATTGATAAAAATAAGTTAGGTCAAATTGTTATGACCCGTCAATCTGTTTTAAGAAAATAAATGTTATTCTTTTGAAGAAGTTCATTATTATATGTTCATTATTATATGTTTTGATTTTACATGAATAAAAGCTTGTAAAAATATATATGAATAATTGTAAATATTTTAATTTATTTTGAAAATACTTTAAATTTATATTATTTTATTTTTTGACTAGACATAAAAGTGAGATATATATGTAATATGAAATCATCTATTAAGTTTTTTTTATAGAATAAATAATTAAATAAATAAATCAGGTCTTGGGTGGAGATACTTCAGTAGATTAACATTATCCTTTATTAGATTTTGGGTTGAACAATCCACTACTTGAAGCTGTATAATTGGACACCCAGTCCCCTCTTTGTAAACCTATTGGACTGGATATAAAATGATTCCCTCAAGACAAAAACAAATGTTGTTTTTGCGGTACATAAGCCAAAAAAATAGATTGATGCAACTCTAACACGCCTTCTCGTATATGTGCATGTAGAGATAGAGAAGGAGATAAACTATATTTGTTGTAAGAATTACTAAAAGAAGTAGAGAATATTGTAGGAAAGCAAAACAGATATAATACACACGAATACATTGTATATGTGTAACAGAGCAATACTATAGTATTATAAAGAATTTTAGATAAAGAGAAAGAAGACGATGCAAAGAGAATTTTAAAAAGAGAATTTTTGAGAGATGGTCGGGGAGAGAATTTGGGATCGTGTGAGAGAATTTTAGAGAAAAAAAAAATATGAATTTGAATTAAATAGAGATTGTGAACGGAGTCTTTTATATAACGAGAGAAACATGAGCCAAAATAGATGAATCACATTTTAAAATAATTTATTCATATTCATTTAAAAATAAAAGGGTATAAATGAATTGGTGGGTCACGACCCTTTTGCCACCAACGGGTTAACTATAAGTCTTTTATCTCTCTCACCTTGTACACACGTACGTGACCTGTATAACACAATCTCTCTTTATATCATAATCTCTCATTCTATATAATCAATACATACGTGACTTGTCTAACAATCTCTCTTATATCATAGTCAATTGCAACAAACCAAATAGTTTGAGAAGCAGTATAAGGAGTTATTTACAAACGAGCATTAGTTTAGAAGAATTATTTCGACTTTACCCAATTTGTGAGTTAGAGAGAGGGAAAAAAAAAAAAAAAAAAACCAAATTACAACTCCGGGCTCAAGCAGCCCCTTTCTACTAAGCTCTGCTGAATCTCCGATCTCCTACTACCGGTAGCGGCGTCGATGTCGGAGCTTCCGGAGGATGTGTTCGGCGACATCCTCACTCGGCTATCGCCGAAAGATCTGCTACGTTTCAGGTGCGTTTCCAAACGATGGTGTGCCCTAATTGATTCACCTAGGTTTATAAAATTGCAACTCAACAGATCACTTGAAACTGGAACCAATTTGAGTTTGATTTATAGAAATGATTCTGAAATATGTTCAGTAGACCTAGATATGCTTGACGGTGATAGCGTCGAACGTCGTTTAGTCGTCGTAGAAGTCGATAACCCCATCCCCATCCAAACAGAGGACTGTTGGACTAGTGTAGAAGGTTCGTGCAATGGTTTGATCTGTTTGCATCGTTACATAGATGAAGTCATTGCCTTGTTAAATCCTTCAACCAAGGAGTATATAATTTTACCTCCACTGCCTCCTCTCCATGAAAAACCCTTATTCGCAGCACTCCCATTTACTGGTCTGGTATATGATCCTGTTGGTGACGATTACAAGGTGGTTCAGATTGTGCAGTACTTGGATAGGTTTAACACCTTTTGGTCTGAAGTTATGGTTTGTAGCTTAAGATCCAAAATGTGGAGGCGGGTTTGTGAGAGCTTCGCTCATCACCTTTACGTGTTGTCTAAAATGCCCTGGCTATGTTCGAGAAATCCCGGTGTGCTTGTCAATGGTGCTTTGCATTGGTTGGCTTGTCGAGATCGCGTAGATTTGTTTGACATTGTTGTTGCTTTTGATCCGGTGGTTGAGGAACACTGGGTAATGGAGGTGCCAAAAGTTTCTGGTTATAGTAAGGGGACATTGGGGGTTTTAGGTGGATGTTTGTGCTTAATTTGTGCTATGAAGGAAAGAGATACGGTTGAATTATGGGTCATGAATAATTATAGAGTAGAGGAGTCATGGACGAAACTCTTTAGGGTAATGTTTGAGGTGCATAGCCCGGGGTGCCCAAGGGTTTTGGCTTATTGTAGGAGCAGTAGGGAAGTTATCTTGTTGGAAATGTTTGGTAATTTAATTTGGTATGATCTGAAAGAGAAAAAGGCGGTGGATCTCGGCATTTGTTCATCATTTGCGGATGTTAATGTGAAAAGCCTTGTTAAGCTCAATCATTATCAATGAATTGGCGGCATTCTATAATTGTTACTGTGATTTGTGAGGATGTCTGGTTTTTGGGAAGCTGTTAAGTTTCTACCAAAGCATGATTCTATTATGCTGACGATAAAGGATTTCGGGTATTCTTAGAAATTCTGTTTATTTTGTTTTATTAAGCTAAATATGTTCAACCTTTGTGATCATGGTCTGTTAATTATGATATTTCGACTAGACTTTCACCTTTTGTTGATTAGCAAACCTATATGTGCTTTAAGCTTTTGCAAATTCCTTGTAAATGAAAAAAAAACTTTGAATGGATTAGTGAAATGACAATGCTTATTATGCTTAAGAGAATGAATACAGAAACGATGGCCGTGTGGATTCTTGGTACTTGGAACGGAGGAGTGATTCAATAATTTGCAGAAATAATGTCAGGTTATATTACAACAGAAGAGGCTTATGGTGGTTGTAAACTGTTGTTCAATACTGTCTTAAGAGGCTTATAGAGGCGGTTCTAAAAAACTGTTGTTCAATACTGTCTTAAGAGGCTTACAGTGGCGGTTCTAAAAAACTGTTGTTCAATACTATCTTAAGAGGCTTGTAGTGTTGGTTGTAAACTGCCCTTCCAGACTGTATTAAGTGGGATTAGTGCGCCCGCTGGGGACGGCTGTGATGAGCTCGTTGCACGGTGCACCTATTACCTACTCCTGAGGCATACTATAGTGGCAGTTGTAAAAAACTGCTGTTCAATACTGTCTAATTGTGTATACTGGTGTATTTTTTTCAAGTACTGCTTGAAGTTTAAAAAAAAAAAGAAAGGAAAAAGCTGTTCAAAATGTGTATGCCATTACATGGCAATTAGGGTAAACACATATATGCAGGTGATGAGTGGCTCCTAAAATGACGAGATTTTATTAGTTGAATGACATAGAATAGTCTCGGACCATTTAATAATTTTTGGGATTTATTTAATATCCAACCCGCCCTTAAAATAAGTTGTCTATGGACCATGGTTTAGTACATTTTTTTTTTCCCGTATAATTGCTATTTTTTGTATATGATGCACCTCACAAGTTGAGTGTTGCATCATGCGTCGCAACAAACATAATTGTCCTTGAAGAAAACTTATAGCAATTAATTCATAATACATGTTGCATTTGCTGACGATTCAATTTGTTATCGACGATGGTACAATCGATGCCATCAGATTGAACATCATCAATCAGTTCAACCGCAGTGTAAATCTCTGGCTCTCTTAATCACTATATATATATATATGTGTGTGTGTGTGTGTGTGTATGTACAGGCTCAGAATTGATGACATGATTGTACAGTGGAATGTAGTCCAAAAGTTTGCCCCATATTGGGGCAATAGTAAAAAATTGATCGGAAAAATTGGAGTTGTTTTGTTCTGTTTACATTTTGAAAGTTGTGAAATAGCATGCCGTTGTAAATACTTGGCAGTTTCAAGCATAGCTTTAAATTATTCTCTGAAACTTTTAGTTCTTGTAAATGAGAACATTATTCGATTGTTCAAGTCTTATATGTGCATCACGAGTCTTCGCTTCACCTGAGCTTGATTATTCATGTTCTTATCTTTTATTTCATCAGTTAGATTTTTGTATCAAATATAATAAAAATAGTCCTAATAACTAAAGTAAGTCCATACATTTTAATTTTTTCCCCTCCAAAAGTTCAAGTAAATGTATATGTATATTGACAATAATATGCTTAAAAGAGCTCGACAATAGAAGAGGAGACAGAGATCATACCTACATAGGCTAATGTTCATTGGTGTCAATACGAATAATTAATGTTACAATGGCATTGGCAAAATTTCCACCTAATGATACACTTTGAAAAAAAAAAATGAACATTTTCTTTTTCTTCAAATCTTTAAATATTGAATTATATTTTAAGGTGTTATAATTATTGGATTTTTGTTCTTTTAAAAGTGATAAATTATAAATGTGTTTTATGTAACGTGCTTTAGCAATTCACAAGCCTTTTCTATAACATTTATAAATGTTAAATCATGATATTAGGATGTACCTTCTTTGTTTTTTGTCTCCTGATAAGAGCCCAATCTATTGGGCAAATTTATTAATCAAACAACTGAGGGAAACACTCCTCAAACATACAACCACAGGATGAAACATATCCAGAGAGCAACAAACATCATACAACCAAATCAAGAACAACAAAAATCAAATTCCCCATTTACCCCATTTAAATGGACATCAACATATCCTGCAATCGGAATTTTTATTTTCTTTTGGCCACACCGAATAAGTGACTTTGATTTAAAATTAGAAAAAATTTAGTACAAAATTTGAACTAAACTTTTTTCAATAAGAAAAATATTTCTCTTGAAATATCTTCAGCCTTTTTTTTTACGAGGCATGCAGCCATTATGTGGCATATGGTTTACATCTAATGTTGTGTCTCTTTCAAGACTGGGACCCTTTATCATGACTTCCACTTGTTGCATATCTTGATCCACAACTATATAAAGTGTTTCCTGCTACAGTTTGAGCAAAGGGCTATTGGCTCAGTTGTAGAGCGCATCCCTGGTAATTGCATCGTTGTGTCTGAACTGTGAAGGCTCTCAGCTACATGGATAGTTCAATGTGCTCATTAGCACCTGACCCAGAGATGTGGATCATCCAAGGCACATTAACGTGCTCCTCCCATTCGAACCGGGTTTGAAACCAAACTTCTTCTATAGATGACTAAACTTTTTTCAATAAGAAAAATCATCGGATTTGATACTCCCAAATATAACATTAATTTATTTGAGATATTACGAAAAGTACTTCATTTATTACCGGCACGTGCAACCTCCCATTTCACATGCAATGGGCCAAAATTACTGAAAATTTTCTTGGTACACAAGGGAATTTAAATTTCGGACCTCTACAATATGAGAGAGATTATATAAGCTCAAGATTTTTTTATTTTTTCCCAAGTAAAACATTTTATCAACACCTAGGACAAAAAAAAAAACTCAAAAGGAGGTAAACCTCCTCAAAAGAAATAGCACTGGAAATACCATTTCCAGATCACTGCATATAGCAACAGCCAAACAGAGTAAAAGGGAAAAGGCACCACCAACATATAAAGTAGCCAGGATCCCAAAACTTTATAACAAACTATAAACTCAAGCCCCTTGTTGGCGTAGAAGTTCGCAACTTAAATCTCATTCGTGTATTGATTTTTATGCCATCAAAATATACCAAATATGCCATATAGAGGTGTGAACATTACCATTGGAATCTTGTTTGTCATGGTTCATTTTTTTTGACTAGACTGAGAAAACAATGCTAACAGTTGGTCGTCAGCTAGTCATAGATGTTCTAAGTCTAGAATTTCAACAATTTCATGCACACCTGCCATAAATAATTTAAACTTTGCAGTCCCATGTTTCCAAAAATAGAATTTCAACACATTTTTTCAAATCTGCAGTCATATGGTCTAAAATTTCAACAAATAAATGAACATATTCCCATGTTTCTAAGTCTAGAATTTCAACAAATAAATGAACTTAAGTGTGTGTGTGTGTGTGTGTGTGTGTGTGAACAGACATGGAGTTTGAAGCATTCTTGTAATCAATTATAGGGAGTTTTTCTGAAAATTCCTCTTGCAGTTACAAAGTGAAAGGTTCAGACTTTGAATGTCCCTTTGGAACATATAACTGAAACAGAGTTAAAACTCAAAACTCATACATGCACTAGATTTTCTTCACTCTGAACATAACACATTTACTTAAAACCCATCCCTGATAGATCTCCTATTTTCTTCATCTTAACATCCACCGGCACTCGCCATGGATGCCATTAACAGTTGCAAAATCTTCCTCCATTAAATCCGAGTACCTGTAGGGATATAACGCGTTGTTCGTCCATTGCTGCACCATTCGGTCCTCCTGAGACACTTGCCGAGGCAAGTAATGGAGGGGCTGTGGACCGAGTAGCCCACCGTCTACTCTGGAATGCTTGAGAGTGTACTCAAAATGATCTGGTCTAATGCCAATGTTAGGGTTTGTTTCAGTTGGCTCAAGCACTGAGCCCAATGCCAGTGTTCTCTCATTCGAGCACTCGACGTCCGAGTCACTTAGCAAATGGTGTTCAATGTCACTAAGTGTTATAGTGTTGGTGTTAGGAAGGCTAATTGCTTCTTCTCCACAGTCTTGACAAGAAAAGTCCGAATTGGTCTGTGTTGCTGAAGCAGAGGAGGGTATGATTTGAATCTGATCTTCTCTTGCTAATACAACATTGTTAATTCCTTGACCCCAAAGTGATTTCCTTTGATTCTCAAATCCGTAATCGATAACTAATCATCACAAAACATTACAAAGAAATAAAATCAACACGCTGTTTTTTTTAGGAGCCTGAAACAGAAAATGTAAAAAAAAAATAGTCGTCTACCTGACATTGGTGAACCGAAATTCATGACACCGAGAGGTGGCCTGGCTGTCGGTTCGAAAGTAGAAACACGATGAGGAGGAACCATGTAGGATAAAGGAATTGATGAAAAAGGACGTTGTAAAGGAAATTCAGGGCTGATTCCTTTGGAACCGAAAGAAAGTTCGTTATCTAGGATGAAGTAAGGAGGTTTCAGACTTGGGAAAGGTTCCAGGCTCAACATGAACAAACGTTTGTCCCATTGCAGAAGCTTCTGATAGTGTCTATCAAGTGTATTTGGTGGAAATTCGACATAGTGCCTCCTGCAAAAAAGATTTAAGAAGAAAGAAAGAAAAAAGTCATTGCAAGTAACATCTTAGTAGTATTATTTAGTTTCATAGAATTGGTCTTGTTCCTGTGTAGATGACAGAATTGACTTAGAACTAAACAGTATATCGAATATGAGTAGGTTTTGTGAAGAAAAACTAGTAATGATACTGCATTCCTAATTTTACAGCTCAAGAGATCAAATTCCGTAAATTAGGGTCATATTTAATTAAAGATGAAGAGGTTGAACTGCTTGATGGCATACGACAACCAAATCCTGATCAGAGGCACCCAAAACTACCCGCAAAAAACCCCTTTAGAGGTCTTTCGAAGGCTTATGGTAACGGTGTCACAATAGGTTTTTGAAGCAAACATAGTCACCAATGGAAGACTCCATTGGCGGCTTTCGTGACATCTAAAAGTACCACTAACATACTTTCACTGCACACTTATTCGAGGAAAATAAACTGCAAGACAACACTTGACTATGGAAATACAGAGTCAGAAATTAAAACAACCCAAGAAACCTATTTGAAATGGCATTATTGACTATTGAAAAGACAAAAAAGAAATGAAGAAAAAAGCAAGATAGCCTGACACCTGCATTTGGGAGCTTCACCTCCAGTAAAATCTGATGCCTGCTGCCAAATAGTATGCTTTCGCGGCTGTGGATCAGTCTCTCGGAAGAACAATGGTGGATGATTCAACTGCACAAATTACACCAACAAAACGAAAACCTCATTAATAAGTAAGCTTCTACTTAGTAAACGATAAGAACACGAATTAAGGTAAAAGGCAGTTACCTCAATTTCTAGAATTCCCGGTTCATCAGCACGAATAGTGGCTCTAATTGCCGAAATATTTTCCCACTGTATTTCAATCTTACTCTTCAATCCATTTCCCAAGATTTCCCACACCAGTTTACGTTTGGCGTAGTACCATTTCGCTACTAAGTCGCCTTCATTCCGAGCAATCCTCTGTCAAAACAATTGAGGGCATTTCATTAAGTTAGTCAAAAAAAAATATAAAATAAAAAATAAAATAAAAAAATCTCTAAGAGGTCTTTCATTGCTTCAATTCGGAGTTATTACATTCCAAGAACCAATTTTGAGAAACGATGCAGGGAGGTTTGAAGCCTTCGGTTGGGATACAAAATGACCCGACGAACAATTAGTCTCGGCTGTATTCCTTGTTTCGAATAAGGTCATCTCCACCAAGTTTACAAAAGAAGGTGTCTTCTTTAGTGTCAAACCAAGAGGACCTCCTTCTTTAGAAGAGTCCAATTCTACCTCCTGAAAAAGGTTAAACCAACCTTGAAGAATGCAAACTACATAAAACTATCTTATAGCTCATTGAAGCTTAAATTCTAAATCCAAAACATCGAATCCTCAAACAATTACATAATGCGAACTACAAAAAAAGTAGAGTAAGAACAGAGACCATATTAATTATCAAGTTATCGAAACCGGAAAAAACCACCTCCTGAAAAAGGTTAAACCAACCTTGAAGAATGCAAACTGCATAAAACTATCGTATAGCTCATCGAAGCTTAAATTCTAAATCTGAAACATTGAACCCTCAAACAATTACATAATGCAAACTACAAAAAACTAGAGTAAAAACAGAGGCCATATCAATTATCAAGTTATCAAAACCGGGAAAAACCAATATAAATTCATAGCGGAGAATCTCAATCCATCCTTTGTAAGAATAGGATACCAAATAAATTAATGGGGTGTTCGGTTGCATGGAATTGGAGCCTCTCACAAATTTCAATTCCAAGGCTTCGGAATTGGAATTTGTGAAATTTGAAAATTTTCACAAATTTCAATTCCAAGGCTTCAAGCAACCGAACACACCCGAAAGAAAATTCTCTATAGAACGGTTATTAGTGTGCAATACTTCGAAAATGACCAACGACAAAGAGGCCGACCAAAACTTAAGAATGGAGAAAAAGAATTCACGACCCCATTCATATCAGAGAAATAATCCCGAACCACACTACATAACCAACATAAAATTCGAAAAAGAACAGAGTAAAAACAGAGAAGATAAAACCAATTTTGAAGAATGCAAACTACATAAAAGCCTCATTGAAGCTTAAATTCAAAACCCATAACAAATAATCCTCAAACAATTGCATAATTGACTCTGAAAAATGAAAACTTCTTGAAAATGAACATCACTACATATAGTAAAAACAGAGACTAATAGACTATATATCAATATAAAACTCCATTGAAGCTTGAGAAAGAACATCACTAGAAAGAGTAGTAAAATCAGATAGTTAAATTTAAAACTGCATTTCAACTTTATCTAAACTATATTTGGAAGAAATCAAACAAAACCCAGGTCAAATCATTACATGCAAAACCCAAGATTCCAAGAATCCAAGATAAAAAGGAAAGAAAAACCCAAGAATTCAATATGCACACACATATACTTGTATACACACACACACACACATTATATATATATATATAAATATATGAGAAAAATTACCTGCTGATTAAACTCTGTGGAGAGTATGATTCTATTGGGTTCCAGAGCTTCGGAGCTCTGAAACCCAGAAACAGCATTGTTCTGAAACTCTTGAGAAGATTCTTCATCATCGTCATCATCGTTCCAGTACCAAATCCCACTAGACTCAGGCCTCTCAACCATGATTTATAGTTATCTTATCTACTACTATGATATAATTTCATAGAAAACCCACCCTAATCCGATTGAGAATCATTTACTAATTTTCTCTCTCTCTATATATATCTCTTATATATATATATATATATATATATATATATATATATGTATATTAGGCTGGAGTACACATGTATATTACGCAGACTAACGGCGAGAAGAGTAAAAGAAAAGGAGGAAAGAGTGTGATTGTGTGAACAGAGACATCTTTATTTTGACGGATATAATCATATCATCGTAGTTGTTGTCAACAAGGACTTTTTGACCGGAGAATATGACGTCACACTCTATGTCACGTGAAGGTCTTCAAAGATTTCAACAATACCGGAATACCGGGTTAGCGGTCTCCCGTTGGATATAGAGGTAAACTAACTTGATGAATGACCCAACTATTCACATTTATGGAATTCGGGTTATTATGGTCTGTTTAGATTCTGAATAAATTTTATTTATTTATTTATTTTCTTCCTTATAAGTTCAAAATAAACTCAAACGTGCTCACAATATTGACCATTAAGATTAATCTTATGTGTGAGTCTATTATTATTATTTATTTATTTATTTTATGGTTTAAATCTCAGATGTACTGCAACATTTGTAATGTATTATTGAGAGTTCGAACTTCAGAAGATGATCTAATCATTAAGACTAGTCTTGTATGTATTTTTTCTTTTCGTATGACTGAATTTAGGGGTGGTAATTTGTATTTGTAGGTCACATTTAATAATCGTGTTAGGAACTCTCAACGCTAACCCGATCTATTTATTAAACAGATTAATATATTTAATGATCTGTTTATTAAAACCAGACATTTAATATTCAACCAAATAATAAATACTAGAAAAAAAATTGTCACATTAATCCAAATATTCAAAATAAGAAAGAAATATTATAAGGCGTAATTAATGTTTATGTTAAAATAATTTAATTGTCTATAATAATTGAGTTTAAACAAGTAATATATTACATAGATTATATTTATGATTATGACATGTTGAGTTAAACAAGTTAAATCCCTTCAACCCTAACCCGATACGATTAAATAAACGGATTAATTGTGTCAATCCGTTTATAACCTGAACCCAATTAAGGTCAATCCAAATTAGCTAATCTCGTATCGTGTTGACGGGTCGTGTCGTAATTTGTCACCCCTAACTGAATCATTGTAAAATGTAAAGATCGATAAATAAAACATGTGAAAAATAGTGAGATAGTTGTGAACTACTTAGAAGACTCTAGGTGGTTTAGTCCAATTAAAACTTATGTTCATTTTATTTTCCTTGTAATGTCTTATTAAAATATTGCACAGTTACCTTTTTTTTAGGTGCAAAATTTTTACTTGATTAAATCACATTGTCCAAAACTATGTAAGTAATTTCGAATTTATTTTTTTGCTGTAACTTGTGAAATAATATGACTTGTATTTATTTTAGCATTTTATTTCGAATATTGTTGTTCTTTATATTGCTTCCATGGCCTTTTTAGGTGCATATGTCAAATAATTAATTTAAAACTACACAAAACAATCAAATAATTTATGTATGTGTATTGAATTTAATTTCAATAAATATTAGAATTCATGATTTACTACTATGACTATGAATACTTCCATAAACAAATGAAATTGTTCAAATAAAATAATTTAAAAGAGTTGGAACTACTAAATGAAGGATCTCAATTTTTAATCTCCTTTATTCCAAGCAAAGCATAACAAATTTAAGTAAAGCTCAATTGGGTTTGGATCAAGGAGTATCAAAATATCAATGTCAATGGTGATTGCCTAGAAATTTGAATGGAATGTTCTTAAGATTAGGTTAATTTTTTATATATATATATTTTTTAAAGGTAAAGTTATTGTTTCATAGTATCTTAAGGACACATAATGGCTGCTACAAACATTATACTAAATTATACGGCGTCGCCACGAGCGTCAGGCATTTTTTGTGGGTCCCACTGGCATGCTTGATTAAATCTTAAGCTATGTTTGGGTGTTCCACTTACGAAATCATTTTCAACTTTTTGCGATTGATGTACTGGATTTCATTAAAATAAGAACATTCCTATTCTTTTTCCTTCTTTCCCTCCCCGTTTTCTTTTCCTTTTGAAAAAAACGAGCCAAATTGCAAGCTTAATATGTTATCATTTGTACGAGAAATTGAATAATAATACTGCAAATGGCGACACCCGACTGCCTACTCGGACGTTGGCACATTGGCGTAGCCTCCATTAGATATGCTTTAGTGTTACAGGAGGCCATTTGTCCCATATTAGATTCGAATGAAAAAGTAATTAGGTATAAATGGATGAATATGCAGCATTACACAATAACTTAAGCTTTTAAATAAATAGGCAAATGTATACTCGTTATAATTGGAATCAAAGTCAAACCCAATCCTTAATTCGGTGCCACACCAAGTGTCTGACCCAGAAGGCGTCTGAGTGACTCACCCGAGTAAGTAAGGTGACCCGACTACAACGAGGGCATTACAAGTTCGAGTAAGAGAATATGTTATAAGGGGTCATTTATCCCACATCAGATTCACATTTAGTCACTTGTCATGATCTCATACACATTGGATGTATGCTACACATGGTATCAAAATCGCGATTATGAGTCGTAGGATCGCACGATTCTACGACTCAGAACTCAAAATCGAGTCAAATCGTAGCAGAATCGTTCAATTGATAGAATCGAGGGTAGAATCGGTAGAATCGAGAGTAGAATCGTACGATTCTACCGATTCTACAAAATTAATTGTTTGGGCCTTTATTTTTGGGCTTTTTTTATTTTTCGGTTGGTTTCTTCTAGACTACAAAATAAAAGAGGCCTGGTTCAAGTATAGTATACAAAGTTAAATATTTATTCTATAAAATATAAATTATTTTTCATTATTGGCAAAAAAAGAAATATATATATGTATATATATATCAATTATTTTTACCATGCATGTCGATATTCCATAATATATTTTTGTGTTTAATTATAAAAAATTAAAATGATCAATTATATCTCAAGGATGCATACTCATGACTAACACATTTAGGCAAATTTTGGTTTCATGATCAATATTTTCATTTGACTAATTTTTTTTTTTTTTTTTGAAGGATTATCATATATATTAAAAATTAAAAATAATTTAAAAACTTAAAAGACTTGCCGGATATGCCAGCCAAGGTATAATATTGTAGTCTAAACTCATAATATAATAAGATCGAGTTAACACGTGGTTCATTAATTTTGTTGTGTTAACTCTTGATTAATTTCGTACTTGTGACTAATAAGGTCACATACACCGTAACACTTGGATTGGTGGACAAAAAGGTCTTTTTATTTCATCAGTTTTCGAAAAAGAAAAAAAAGAAAAAAGGAAATTGCATAGAGTTAAAAAAAAATAATAAATAAATAAATAAATCCTTTTGATATGTAATTTTAGTTTCTAATTTTGGAGATGGATAAGTTAAGATTTGAGATTTGTAAACTCATATTATTTTAAGTTACATTCTCTTTTATTTATATTCAGACTTTGAAATATTGTTAGGATTTGAGATTTATGAACTCATGGATATGTAATATTTGTGTGTTTTGGCCTCATTTTTTTATATGTTACAGATCTTATTGTTTAAGAAATTAATTTCAATTGGTTTTTCACATTTTGGTAGAATCTTACGATTTACGATCCGATTCTACGGAGTCCAAAACGATTCTGCGTAGAATCCCGATTTTAACAACCTTGATACTCCATCCATGTGCCTTAGTCAAGTGTTCTCTTTTAAGAATATTTCTATACAATTGAATTTGTTCAATAAATAGAAATGATATATAACACCATGATCTTGTCCAAAAGTTCTCCACCTCAATTTATTTATGACTAAGCATACTTAATAGGCATTAAACCACCCCTATCTAATCACTTTCATCTAAATACAACATTATTAATTAAATTAATTAATTATGTCAATTTGTAAAGACTCGAACTCATTTAACGTTAATTTAAATTCGTGTCAAACTTTACCAACTTAGCATAATTCTCATTCAGTAACTTTTAGGACGTAACATTTGGTCACACAGCAAGCACTACTTAGGATAATGATAAAATTGTAAAATTTGAAGGTTTCTCACAAATTTATTTTGGGATGTTAAATGAGCAAATTAAGTCAAGAAATGAACTCATTTACATTTTTCACTCATCTGTTCAGCTCATCGCAAACTCGCAACAAGCCCCAACTCATCTCCCTCTAGAGTTTGAAATTTATAATTCTATATGAATTCCTTGTATCGTCTTCAAATTCCAAAACAAATTCTATACTCCAGAGTTTCTGTGTTGAATCGCCATCTCCAAAACAAAACCAGGTCTTTTTCTTGTTCAGATTCAAGCCCTACAATCCATGTCCCAGGCATTATCGACATTGCCAGGGTTTCTCAGCTCATAACACTCCAACACTGGTCCAATCTCAAAACCCTAATCAAAGAAACAACCCCAAATCGCCTCCTTCAAATACTATTTGATTCGGGGGCTGATTCGAAGGTCGTTCTCGGGTACTTCAAGTGGTCCGAGAGAGAATTTAGGGTTTCACACAGCCTCGAACACAGTTGCAGGCTCTTGCATCTGTTGGCAAATGCGAAAAAGTATCCACAAATCAGAGCTTTATTGTATGATTTTGTCAAGTATGGTACACACAGTACACACTCCGTTTCTTCGATTTTTCACGCACTTACCTTATCAAGTGATCAATTTTGTGCTAATTCTATTGTTGTTGATATGCTGATACTGACATATGTTAATAATTTGAAAACGGATTTGGCATTTGAAGCTTTTGAGAGAGCTGGGGATTATGGGTTTAAGTTATCGGTGTTGTCGTGTAATCCCTTGTTGAGTTCTTTGGTTAAGGAAAGTAAAAATGGGGTTGCGGAGTTTGTGTATAAGCAGATGATTAGGAGGAGGATTGAGCTTAATGCGATCACATTTAATACTGTCATTAATGGGTTGTGCAAGGAGGGGAAGTTGCAGAAGGCAGGGGATGTTGTTGAGGATATGGAGGTGAGAGGATTTTTGCCTTCTGTAGTTACCTATAACACACTTATAGCTGCGTATTGCAAGAGTGGTAGGGCAGGAAAAATGTACAAAGCTGATGCTCTTTTGAAGGAAATGGTATCCGAGAAAATATGCCCAAATGAGATTACTTATAATATTCTCATTGATGGATTCTGTAAGGATGAAAATGTGTCAGCAGCTATGAAGGTGTTCGAGGAAATGAAAAAGCAGGGCTTGAAACCTAATGTTACCTGTTATAATTCATTGATCAATGGATTGTGTTGCGAGGGGAAACTTGATGAAGCTCTCTGTTTGCGGGATGAAATGCTGGGTTCAGGTTTGAAGCCAAATGTTGTTACTTACAATGCCCTTATCAATGGGTTTTCTAAAAAGGAAATGTTGAAGGAAGCTACCGGGATGTTGGATGATATCTGCAGACAAGGTCTGGCTCCCAACATTATAACGTTTAATACTTTAATCGATGCTCACTGTAAGGCTGGAAGAATGGAAGAAGCGATTGCGCTGCGTGGTTTAATGTTGGACAAAATGGTCTGTCCCGGTGTTTCAACCTTTAACTGCTTAATTGGTGGTTTTTTAAGGGATGGAAACATGGAAGCTGCTAGTAAGCTTCTAGAGGAAATGGAGGATAAGGGTTTAAAAGCCAATCTTGTAACATATAACATAAGGGTGGGTGCATTGTGTGAAAAAGGGGAATCAAGAAAGGCAGCTAGACTTCTGGATGAGATGTTTGAGATGAGTTTGAGTCCCAGCCATATTACCTATAATACTTTGATGGAAGGTTACTGTAATGAAGGAAACCTGAGGGCAGCTTTGAATGTGAGGATAAAAATGGAGAAAGAAGGGAGGCGGGCAAATATTGTAACATATAATGTGTTGATTAAGGGTTTCTGCAAGAAAGGTAAGCTGGAAGAAGCAAATGGACTTCTTAATGAGATGTTGGAGAAGGGTTTGGTCCCTAATCGAAATACCTATGACATAGTTAAAGAAGAAATGATGGAGAGGGGATTTGTTCCAGACATAGATGGGCATCTGTATAATAGTTCTGCTACGTAATAACCAAGATAGGAGAATTGGACTGGTGTGACGTAGATTGTTCACTTTCTTCTGTTCTTCCTTCCTTATTTTTGGTTGTCACGGGGCACTCAGATTTGGAAAATTGACTCAATTTTTGCTGCACAAAATACTTGATTTCAATTGGAGCTTCATATTGTATCACAAGGAATACAAAACAAAAGGTTGAAACCTTCCTTAGAGTTTGTTGTCCTTATCTAATTCAGGTGAACTATCTTCTTCCCTAAACTATGTATAATACATCAAATGAAATCAGTTCCATGAAGGAGATCTGTCAACATTAAGGCTTCCCTAATACCTCTCTTCTGGTGCAGACTTGGTGGGAAGCTGGGTAATAGCAGTCATTCTATCTCTCTGAGAAGCAAGGTGGTGAAGAAAAAGAGGATGGCATAAATGTTATCTTTGTTTGAAATGTTTGGAGTTTGTATTGTGTTAGGGGGAGTATGGTTTATACTGAATATCAGTTGTAACATTTCCTCTGCTACATTGATCAAAGGTACTTGAATAGATATTTGCTTTCTTAATCATCGATCACCTTTGTTATTTTCTGCTGTACAAGATCAATATAAATCTACTCTTCCATTGTATGGAAGGTTACATTATTTGTTGTAGTTCAATTCTGTAGTATACTGAGGGTGCATTCACTTGTTAAGTCACTCTACTTCGTTCTTTATGTGAAGGGCCTCGATTGTTCTTTGGGGAGCTCAAAAGGGGTTCTCTTAAGTTAGAAGATCATTCACTAGGCTGCAAATAGTGTAATGTTTCCCCTTATTTTGAGTGGTTAAAGACTCTGGTGCATAGTCCGAAATGGGGTTTAATAGATTAGAGTAGAATTTTATCTGGTGACTGGACGATGTCCCCTGATTATGGCGCATAGAATCCATTCACACTGGACCTACCAGTTGCTGGACAGATTCTTGACCTAAGAAATTTTACAAGTGGATTTCACAAGAGTGCAACCTTTCATGCTATTCTATTCACTCATGGTGATGTTAATTATAATGTCTGCATTAGTTTCTTGATACAAGACCTGTAACAGTGAGATTTTTAGCAACAAACAGCTGTAGAGATACTATGTGCTGCTTGTCAAAATTTGTTTCACAATAGATGGAGAGTGATATCATCTTGTAAAATTCCAAGGTCATTCTTGTGTGTTAATAGAATTGAGACGTTGAGTTAGACATTGTTATTTAACCTCGGTGATATATAATTTTATATTTAAATTTGTGTGAGCAACTACATTGCCATAATTAAGTGCCAGTATCTTCAGTTCTATGAAAGTTGTTTCTTACATTGGATTCCAGATCAAATTTATAGTGAAAATTTACCTGGAAATATTTTTATTACATATTTCATAAATTACAATCACTACATACCACCTGGAATATTGATAATGCATCGACGAGGTGTGAGTGCAATATGGTGTACGATTCAGTTAATTGTCATGCTGATAGAAACACTCAATTTGATTGATATTATTGTCTGCCTTGTTTTTTTTTTTCTTCTTATTTTTAACTAATTAAGTTGAAGGATCAACTTATATTTAACCAAATTTTTGTCTTATATAATTTTCTTATTTTTTAGTAGACGTGCCAAATAGAAGTATCAACTTCATTTATTTTGTACAAGAAGAAGATAGAAAGGGTCATCTTCAGTTGTCAATTGTTTGGTTGGTAGGTTCTCAATTGTGGCGTGTCGTGTCCTGGTAAACTATATTGAGACTCTTACCATCACAGCCAGGTTAGCATTTCCAGAAGAAGGGAGGTCAACTTTAGTTTTTTTTTTTGGGGTTGGTAGGTTCTCGATCGTGGCATGTCATGGTACATTATACTGAACACCATCACAACCGGCTTTAAGATTTCCACAAATTTGTTCAAAGAACAATTAATGCCAGTGTACAAGCAATTTTCCTTAACTGCAAGCTCTTCTTTCTCATCTTGGCTCTCTTGGTGAAAAGGAAAGGAAATGTAGGTTGATGTTGGAGATGCTTGAATGTTTGTTCCATTTGCTATAAGTGCCTCTCTCATGATCCATTTTGTAGGTAAACCATTTTCTGTCAGTCCCTCTCTCTGATGATCATGCATAGGTGAACTTATAGTGTTTGCTTTTCTTCTTTGATCTAAAAGAATGGAAGCAATTATCTTGTTTTATGTGGTATACTTTTCTCCCACAATACCTTGTTTTATAATCTTGTTGAGGCTTTTTCCTCTAATCATGCTATACGAATACTGTGGTAACCAGATGCTGATCCCTCAAGATGTAGGCAACTAGTTACTGGGATAGCTTCAGCCAAATAGGCAGAGACGAACTTAGTAAACCGCAGTTGTGATACTGTCTCAACAAGGCAGTCCATTGCCTTCTCTCTCTCTCTCAGATGTTAATGTTAATGAACTTTCAATTGGATTGTAACTTGATTCATGCATGGCAGAAATTTGTGATACTGTCTCAACAAGGCATTACATTGCCTTCTCTCTCTCTTTTAGATGTTGATGTTAATGAACTTTCAAATTGCAGTCCAGACTGTAACTTGATTCACGCATAGGCATAGCAGAAAACTCACTTCATGTTTGATAAAACTGTAACTTGTTTTTGGCTTTTGTTTATCAGGTGTACAGAGCATAACCTTTCATACGCTGTTTATTATATATAATTTTTTCAAGCAAAGCTTCTAATTTTGCTAGTGTCTATATAGCATTTCATTCTTTTTCTCTCTTTTGGATTCTCAAACTTACATATCTAGAATGGGACTACGTGACAATGTTCAGGTGTGCTGTGTTCTACCATGATTCCCGAAACAGATTAGGATCGATGTAGACATAACAGTATTTGTGTCCAGAGGAACATCTTCATGGACACAACTAAGTTACACTTGCCTGGAGGCAACTATAAAATTGTTGTGCCCATATACCTACTCTGATAGAATTGCCATATTTAGTTTCCATGGTCAAGTCTCTCACTCAATACACAGTTAGACATGACTTTTTGTTGACCTCTACACAAAACACCTTTCAAATATATATACATTGCATCTACATACTCTTTCTCTCACACCTTCATATACACATTGCATCTACATACTCCCACTCTCCACCTACAAGGTCAAGCGAATAGCGAAATTCTCTCACCGCACTCTTAAGCATCCCGGAGAAAAAGAAGGAAGAAGAAAGGAAGAGGAGCAGGAAGTGAAGTGCCATCCCAAAAGTTTCGGTCTTTATTTTGTTGAAGAATTGAAGAATCAAGGTATTCTTTTTAAATTTTTAGTCATTCAATTCATTCTTTTCTATTAAGCTGTGTTTATATATATATATATGCAATTTATGAAATTCAAATCATAAATGTAGTTAAAGCCTAATCACATTGTGGATGTTCAATGTCTGGTTAAACGAAAATGTGAACGGAGGAGTGAAATGAGAACTTCCTTGGCCACCCAAATAAAAAATAAAAAAATAAAAAGAAGGAAAATTTCTCCTTTTTAGGCTTTAGACTTCTTGCACTTGAAGTCTTGAACAGGAAAAATAATTTTGTTGCCAGGAGTGTGTTTCTTCTTTTATATGCCTTCTTTATTATTTTCGTATTTATTGAGAAAATGACAATTCCACTTTTTTTTTTTTTTTCAATAATAAACCACTTCAATTATGGATGAAAATGCCTAGAAACAATCATTAAACACAAAAGGCCAGAAATGTGTCTTTCATGTTCATGTTTTTTCTCTGTTCTTTATGATTTCTTTAATTTTGGAAACAAGTGAATAGCTAATGAATGGAGCTACATATCTCTAAAATCCCAACTGCCCATTCAAATTAATGAAGCAAAATGAGTGGTCCTAGGACTTGTTTCCCATGTTCTCCATAATATACTTTTGTTGTTTTCTTTTTTCTTTTCTTTTCTTTTTTTTTTGTCTTTTTTATTTTTTTATTTTGAAAAAAAAAAGACCATGAAGATGGTTGATAAATGGAGTTGATAATACTACAAAATTTCCAGTGTCCCCATTCAAAGTGGTTTTATATGGCTTGTGTTTTTGTACTTCCAAAAGCGTCTTCTCTTTGTTTCCACACATTCATTGCTTTGGAAAGGATCCTATGTTGAACACTCATTGACAGGGGTAATTGTTCCCACCCACTTCTGTATACCCGTTCAAATCTGACTATATAGTTTCGGTCAATTATAACTCTATAAATTAACAAATGTGTCAATTTTATTTAAATTTTTACTAGCGTGATTCAACGGAGAGACTACGATCATAAAGTAATACGTCATAAATTCTCACCACAAATTTATTAAAGTTAGTGATCAAGTATTGTAGTTTCAAGAACCTCAACAACTTTTTAAAGGAGTTGAGTTCAAGTATGACAAACTTGATAAAAAAAGTAATTTAAGAGTTTTTTATTTTTTATTTTTTATTTTTTTAAGAGTTAATTCAACATAATGGATTGATTTTAAGTGAACTTGAATTTACTGTACAATAACATGATTCTGGTTAAACTAAATTCAACACGATCTCATAAATTGCAACACTCGTTCCTTATTTGTTATTATTTTTGTTTCAAGAAACTCATTCATCTAACATAGCATCAAACCTCTATGTATAAAGATGAAGAAGTATCACTGACAGTTGCTACAAATTTAATTTTGATGTTTCGTTGTTACGGAAAACTCATATTTTTACGTAACTATTGTGAAAATAATAATTAAAAAAATAATTCCTAGGTCTAATGATACCATATTCCTATTTTGCAAATAAAAATCGGGACTCAAAGAAAGATAAAAAGGTTTGAGCCTTAGTAAAAGCACGTGCCTGTCAAGCCTATTTACCTTAGCCTCGAGCAAACATCCATGCCAAAAGAATTGAAAGCCTAATCTCATACTTGTCGTGTGAAGCATTTTTGTCGACATTTTATAACTAGTTTTGGAAATGTTCTTTTATTTGTTTTTAGACAAAAATTAACACATTACTCTTCCTTTTTAGATGTCATTATACTCTTTTCTTTTTTTTTTTTTTGAATATTTCAAATTAGTTGTTACATTTAAAGTGTTAAAAGTATTATAAATGCAATATTCACATAATTATTTTTAAACTTTTCAAAATCTTTCAATTTAATATTATATATGGAAAATGATTCTTACACCTAATAGTTGCAGTGAATTGCTAAATCTATTTTTTTAATTGGTCAGTTATATAGCAAATAAGGAAGTGGAACCATCCACTTAGTTGTATTTAGCATAAATAACTAATTAAAAATTATTCGATTAGACAATTCATTTCAAGTGTTCGGTGTGAGTATCACTATTCATTTCATATATATATATAAAGTTAAAAAGAATAATTTCATAATTTAAAATTAAAAAAAAATACATTAATTGTACATCTCTTTAAAAAGTTATAATAAGTTATAATAATAAGTTACAATAATGTAGGATGAGGAAGTATTATGGCAACCCTATCTGTTTAAATGTCATGACAATTATATGTTCGAGTAAGTAGTTGTTAGGTCTAACTCCTCATGATTCAAAGGTGAAAAAAGTCTTCGCCATAATGATAAAATAGTTCAAAGCATACTTATAATATTTGATTCTCATTATATAAAAAATTAAAAGAAAATTACTATTTTATATTTTTAATTCACAATAAATAAAAGTCAAATATGCCTGTCATGTCAGAAGTGAAAAGAATATTGTTCATCGTTAGTGAAAGACAAGCATGATTTTGTCAATTGTTTATTTGGAATATTCACATCATTTATGAAGTATTCAATAAATAAAATAAAAATTAGCTTAAAATTTGGAAAGCTGCTTTCATACTCTTGCAATGCACTTATTTTCTTATTAAAGAAAATGACACAATAATAAATTTTTTAAAGTCCACCATAATTTTAGAACTTTTTGTAATAATTATAGAACATGGGACAATGAGTGTGTCTTTCTATAATAACTCTCTTTTATTGTAAAATATAAAAAAATTGAATTAAGAGTTTCCAAAAATGGTGGTCAAATATTAATTATATAATAACCAATTCATAAATGGATAAGGAATTAGGATTATAATTTCGAATGTGCTATTAATATTCTCCTCTTTTTTTTAAATACAAATACCTTAAAAAATGGAGGCAAAGCAATAATCATAGCCGGAAAGTGAGTATCATTTCATTCCCATTTATTTTATGATTTCAACATAATAGTTGGATAATTAATTACAGACAATTTATACAACCGATTTGTTTTATACGTGATATAATAATAATAATAATAAAAGCGCAGGGAAAAAAAATTATATTCATCTATTATAAATAGCTGTGCAGTATAGGATGAGCACAAACGATTCCTTCAAACCCTTATAAATGTAGTCCTCTACAAGCCTCAAAAACGTTATCCTTTTCATCAAATCTTCATTCTGTACCCTTTGATTTATTGGGTACCCACCGTACCTAGATTACTGTTTTCTCTCTCAAAGCCTCTCACTTTCTCTCTCTATTCTACTGAGTCTTTGTTTTTCTTAGATACATGCGTACACGCATCATATATGTGTGCGTGTGAAATTCATGTTCCGAGATTTGTTTTTTGGGCGAAGTTTCATGTTTTTGGTTGGGTTTTAGATTGTTAACAGTTTTCAATCTATTGAAATCCTTTTTGTTCATTTTTTTTTTTCCTTTATCTGGGATTAGTATTTCCAATGTTTTTAGATTGTCATCTGCCAAGCAAAACTCTTGGATCCCGATCCCTATGACTTACACAACCCTTTTGCGCATTTGTCTTCTTCAATCTTTCTCTGTTGTGTTTCTTCACTGGTTCTACATCTTTTCATGAACCCACTTCTATAAACTCAAGTTTTGATTTATATCCCTAAAAACCCAATTCACATTCTTCCCCAAAAATCCTCCTGTTCTTGCATACCCATCAATCGAATTGAAAAGAAAAAAAATATTTCTTTTGTGTGTGTATACACACACCGCTGATTATATAATTTGCAAGGAAGAAGAAAACAATGTCGGCTCTGCAACAGGTTAGCAGTAGCTCTACATTGGAAGTGGACCAAAAAATTGCAGTGTTAGATGAGAGGAAGAGGAAAAGGATGATATCGAACAGAGAGTCGGCGAGGCGGTCGAGGATAAGGAAGCAGAAACTGGTGGAGGATTTGACAAATGAAGCAAGGTTGATTCAGGATGCTAACAAAGGGATTGTGGGTAAAATTGATAAAGCCACAGAGATGTGTGTGATGTATGCTGCAGAGAACAATGTGTTGAGGGCTCAAGTCATGGAATTGACTGAGAGGTTGAGGGGTTTGAATGATGTAATACAATGGAGTGGGTTGGATGTGGCTGAGGACATTCCTGATCCTCTGCTAAAGCCGTGGCAGATTCTGAGCTCATCGCAGCCTATCATGGCTTCTTCGGACTTCTTGCATCAGTTTTGAGTAAAACAACTGTCTTTGGCAATTGGGTTGGCTTTTCTTGCTTTTGTTAGCCATGTGACTCTTATTAAATTTGCTTTCATTTTCTGTTCTCTGTATGAATTTAGTATGTTGGGTTAGGTTGTATGAAGTAGGGGCCATGATTGTTTGAAGCTCTTTGATAATGAAAAATTAATAGATCTTAGTGTCTGTTTTGATGATTAAACACCTCATGATTTCTATCTAAAAGTGAACTGGGCAAGCTTTGTTGATTTGAATCCAACATTAACTCATCATACATCTTAGTATTTAAAGCTGTGGCAGCTTCCAAGCTCATCGCAGCCTATCATGGCTTATTCGGGCTTCTTGTTTCAGTTTCGACTAATCCACCATCTTCGGCAATTGGGTTGGCTTTGTTTAGCCATGTGATTCTTATTAGATAGTTTTTTTTTTTAATGTCTTGATCATTTACTCTCATTTTCTGTTCTCTGTATATATTTTAATATGTTGGTATTAAAAGCTTTATCTTAGAGGTTTTTGACTTGTTTGATAAAGGTTTGATTTTTATGAAGTAGGGGGCCATGATTGTTTAAAGCTTTTTGACAACGATATGTTAATGGATCCTTTGTCTGTTTTGATGATTACACACCTCATGAGTTTTATCCAGGAGTGAATTGGGCAAAAAATGTTCATTTGAATCTATCATGAACTCATTAGACATGTTAATGTTCATGCATCTGAACACCTCAGGAGTTCTATCCATGATTGTTAAAAGCTTTTTGACAACGAAACATTAATGGATCTTCGAGTCTGTTTTGATGATTAGATACCTGATGAGTTGTATCCATAAGTGAATTGGGCAAAAAAATGTTCATTTGAATCTAACATTAGCTCGTTATACATGTAAATGTTCATGCATTTGAACAATATTATTGTAATTGAATCTTCTCCCCTGGTTGTAAGTAAGTAATCCCTTGGAAACAATTGTAACACTCTTAAAAGCCTGCATTGCTCATTTGCAGTTTTTACTAACTATATTGCACATAAACTTAAATGATTTGAGACGTGGTAAATTAAAATGAAAAGCTGAGGGGCTTGTAGATGCTTAGGTGTATTGGAGACTATGCAAAGTTTCAAGGTGAAGCAGCCTTGGCCTTGAAATGAGATTGAGCCATTGCAGCCTGTCATGGCTTCTTCAGGCTTGTTGCATCAGTTTTGAGTAATCCACTATCTTTGACAATTGGCTTGGCTTGGCTTGGCTTGGCTTTGCTTGGTTGCTTTCATTTAGTCTTGTGAAACTTTTAAGGATGTTTTTGTTAGAATGTGTCGCAATCATTTACTCATTTTCTGTTCTCTGTATAGATCTTAGTATGTTGGTATTAAAAGCTTTCTCTTATATTAGAGGTTATTTAACTTGTTTTATAAAGGTTAGGTTGTGATGATTGTTTAAAGCTTGTTGACAGTGGAACATTAATGGATCTTAGTGTCTGTTTTGATGATTAAACATCTCGTGAGTTCTATCCAAAAAGTAAATTGGGCAAAAAATGTTCATTTGAATCTAACATGAACTCATTATAAATGTTAATGTTCATGCATCTGAACAGTCTTACAGTAATTGACTCTTCTCCCTAGTTGTAAGTAACCCCTCGAAACAATCATCACTCTTTTAATAGCTTGCATTGCTCATTTGCAGTTTTTATTAACTATATTGCACATAAACTTAAATGATTTGAGATGTGGTAAAGGATGGCAAATAAAGATGAAGACCTGAGGCTTGTAGATGCTTAGGTGTATTTGAGATTATACAAAGTTCAAGGTGAGGCAGCCTTGGCCTTGAAATGAGATTGAGCCATCCAGCCTATCATGGCTTCTTTGGGCTTCTTGCATCAGTTTTGAGTAAATCAATCATCTTTGACAATTGGGTTGGCTTGGTTGCTTTCATTTAGTCTTGTGAATCTTATTAGATGATTTTGTTACAAAGTGTCTTGATCATTTACCCTCATTTTCTGTTCTGTGTATAAATTTTACTATGTTGGTATTAAACGCTTTATATTAGAGGTTATTTGACTTGTTTTATGAAGGTTAGGCTGTGATGATTGTTTAAAGCTTTTTGACAATGAAACATTAATCGATCTTAGTGTCTGTTTTGACGATTAGATGCCTGATGAGTTCTATCCATAAGTGAATTGGGCAAAAAATATTCATTTGAATCTAACATTAGCTCGTTATACATGTAAATGTTCATCCATTTGAACAATCTTATTGCAATTGACTCTTCTCCCCTGATTGTAAGTAACCCCTTGGAAGCAATTGTAACATTCTTAAAAGCCTGCAATACTCATTTGCAGTTTTTACTAACTATATTGCTTAAATTATTTGCGAAGTGGTAAAGGATGGCGAATAAAGATGAAGAGCTGAGGCTTGTAGATGCTAAGGTGTATTGGAGATTATGCAAAGTTTCAAGGTGAAGCAGCCTTGGCCTTGAAATGAGATTGAGCCATTGCAGCCTATCATGGCTTCTTCTGTCTTGTTGCATAACTTTGAGTAATCCACAATCATTGACAATTTTGTTGGCTTGGTTGCTTTCATTAAGTGTTGTGAATCTTATAATATGTTTTTGTTGGAATATGTCTTGATCATTTACCCTCATTTTCTGTTCTCTGTACAGATTTTAGTATGTTGGTATTAAAAGCTTTATTTTATAGGTTATTTGGCTGTTTTATAAAGGTAAGTCTGTCTTCTTTGGCTCCTAGATCAGTATTCCTTTCCCCCCCCCCCCCCCTTTTTTTTTTTTTTTTTTTGATAAGTGCATCAGTCTTCCTTTCCTAGCATCCCATGTTGGCAGAACCAGTAAGTAATGGCATTTTGCTATTCTTCGTTGTTAGTTATTTACCAATAAATTTGGGTTTAGTTTTATGATGACGGCAAATGTATGAAGTAGGTGGATTTAGCTTGATAATGGCAGCAATCGTATGAAGTAGGGGGCCATAATTGTTTAAAGCTTTTTGACAACAAAAGACTAATGGATCGTGATTAAACCTTGCAAGTTCTACTGAAAGTGAATTGGGAAAAAAAAAAAAAAAGTTCATTCGAATCTAACTTTTAACTCATTTTGCATGTTAATGTTCATGCATCTGAACAGGCTTACAGTTATCAACTCTTCTCCTCTGGTTGTAAGTATCCCCTTGAAACGTAACATCCTTTAAAGCTTGTATTACTCATCTGCAGTTTTTACTAACTGTACTGCACATAAACTTAATGATTTGGGAAGTGGTAAAGGATGGTAAATAAAGATGAAGAGCTGATGCTTCGCGTATTGGAGATTATGCTAAGTTCAAGATGAAGCAGCCTTGGCGTTGAAATGAGATTGAGCCATAACAGCAAATTTAAGAAAGATGAAGAATGAGAACCTGCTTTTTGGTTACTATGCATGCAGATTTCCACGGATTCAAGACTGGAAGTTTGAGGTTAGTAGTAGAATGTTTAGTTTTTCTTTGGCACAAACTTTGAGCCAACTATGGGTGTGAGTTGTTCAGTGCTGTCTGTGGTTGTCCATTGTTGTGGATGACATATAAAGAACCATCAACTGAGGCTTCTGCAGCTGTGGACATAATATTTTTCCACGATGAACCCCTTGTTAAGCTCAGTGAGCGATACAATGTGGAAGATCAATTCTATTTCATGTTGGATGAGGTTAGTTGTAGACTGATAAAAGAAAATTTTATCATATGTAGCAGGAAGGAATAAGTGAATTAGTCGAGTTGAAAGACCAATGTGCTTTTGCTTGTTTAGAATCATAAGCAGCATAACTTTTTTTCGCGTTTTGCCTTCTGATGCAGAGTAAGAGGAAAGATAAAACTCCATATAAATGCAGTATCTCTATAATAACCATGTTGGAAAAGTGTGACAATGGTGTCACATTTTTTGGTATTCTAGTTGATTTCATTGAAAAAGCTCGAGCTTGGTTGGACTCAGTTCGATTGATGGGGAAAAAAGAAACCCTGAATGAAGGAGGCGGCTAAGTAGGTTTATTCAATGAAGTGAGTTCAAGCTAGATATTAACAATTCATTGGACTCTGCAATGACTACTAAATATCAAAGGTTTCTGTTTTGTACTTGGTTTGTTCCTTGATTCACAGGTTTATTTTCAGTCATGGATAAAAATAAATAAATACTAATAAAAATCTCTGTGTCTCTCTGTCTCTCTCTCACACACACACCCCCCCATCCACCTGCTAGGTGCTTGGTAGCTTCGGATTCTTATAAAATTTTAACATAATCTCCACCTTCAGATGATGAGAAATCGTTGGACATCATAAAGGGCCTGATGGGTCCCACTTCATCACATGAGTGGGACCATCACACTTTGTTTGGTTTGGTTTTGAAGTTTTCGGGACTCCCCAATCATTGTTCTTAGCCAGTGGTCCTATTTATTATTTATTTTTTTTGTTTTTTTTTTCCATTGATAAGAAATAACTCATGCTAGTAGGCATATATATATATATTTTTTTTTTACCCACGTCTCCAATCAAACTGTCCTCTTTGAGGATGAGAAGGTTTACCATTGAATTATATGTCATTGTCCTAATTTACATGTTCTCTTAAACGTAAATTACATTGATTTTTTTTGAGCAAATTTTATACAGATAAAGCGTTTAAAATTTATTCTCTCTTGATGTTTGGATGTATGCTTAACAACCCCCCTCTCCATCAAAACTTGTAAATTTTTTTTTTTTATAAAATGATCAAATTGCCCTTTTACTCAATTTTTATTTATTTATTATTTTAGGAAAGGGTAAGGGCGGTGGAGAGGGGAGAGAAAGTAATTACTAATAAGAAAGATGAGATAAAAAATTAATTTTTTTAGATTTTTTAATATATTTTGTATTATAAAAATATATTATATATAAAAGTATAATTGACTTTTTATGATTTTAAAGGAGGTTAGAGTAATAAATCTCAAACGCTTCACTCATGTGAAATTTGTACAAACCTCAGGGAAATTAGTATAATTTACCCTTCTTTTAATGTTAAATTAGATTAACATCCCTAAGGTTTGGATCAATTACATACATATAGATTGTTTCACATTTCTTAAAATTGTGAATTGTTTCACATTTCCTAAAATTGTGAATTGTTTTTCATACCTTTATCTAATTAAATAGTAATTTAATAAAAAAAATTGTCAAATCAAAAGACAATAACCCTTTTTTCCTTTAAAAAAAAAAAAAATTGTAAAATTGAAAAAAAAAAATTTAATATAAAAATTAATACTTTGCATTATTTCAGTGATCGAGTCGTTAAGTACACACAACACAGCTAAAGGGAGGTTAAAATATTAAATGTAAAACAAGCTCTAATTGTATATAATTTGCCTAATGTCAAATTTCACTAGCCCCTTTCGAAATTCAAGTGTACATTTGATATTAATGAACTTTAAAAGGACAAATATTAGGTTCCTATTCTAGGAGCCACTCTTCATCCTATACCTTGTGTGTTGGCCCATATCATCCCATTATAATTCCTTGGCACGTGCTTTGTCTTTTCTATGGTATACTTTTACTTTCTCGCAAAGAGAATTAAGCACACGACTCTTGTTACGTATAACTTAGACAAACCATGAGATTGAGAGTAATTGAATAATAATGTTTTGAATGGTCACAATTCATCTTTTTTCAATGACATCTACATCATCTTCTTTGACCACTCTTGCTCGCGGTTGAAAGTAAATTTGTCAGCTAATTTATCATACGAATTTAATATATTTAGTTTTTACAATTTGGGAAAAAAGAACAAAAAACCATAAGGAAAATAGATTGCAGGCCTAACATTTTCAACACATAAAAGCATCCTATGGTTTGGATGCTTTGAGGCGAACACTTTTGTAGGCTTATTTAGCATTACTTGGAACTTGTAAGAAGATATATTTAAAGTCAATGAAGAATAATATTACCTTGTAGTTGTAATAAGGTCATTTGTCTAAGTATCATATTCGAATGAGAAAGTAATTAGGTATAAATGAGAGGGTATGTAGTATTATCCAATTCACTTATTACAGTTGGTATCAAAACTAGACTCCGATGTCACGCTAAGCGTCCAGCCCAGAAAGCATCTTGGCAAACACCCCGAATAAACAGGGTGACCCGAGCCACAACAAGGGCGTTGTGAGTTTGGAAGGAAAAGAATGTAACAAAAGTCATTGTATAACACCGAAAGTTGATGAGAAAGTGATTGGGTATAAATGAGGTGGGTATGCAGCAACCCAATAGCTAGAACTTTTGATTAAATGGACAAGTACCCATTCATTACACTAATCCATAAGTTATACCACTTATATATTAATTTTGTACAAATACGTGTTGAATTTTTTTCCCTGAAAATAATTAAAATGCATAACAGAGTCTACTTCACAATAATTTTTCATACCTTCTTGTAAATAGGAGACGACGTCGTTTCCTAAGGAAGCAATAGCGACTAGTCTCTGTGATTAGTTTTGTCTCCCTCTCTATATGCAGTTGATCCACGGAAAAAACACGAATTCTGACCGTTTACCCAGTGAGTGGGACTCGGATTCCAATTTCACATATCAAATCTGGAATTAATACGGTTAGGTTTCGCCGAATTGCTTGAGAACCCATGGATTTACAGAAGAAAAGGATTCAGTTTCTGCTCTTCGTTGTTGGCATCATCGTTCTCAGTATCACAGGTAGATTGCTCGATTGTGTGTATATATATATGTGTGTGTGTATGTTCCTATTGGAATAGTTATATTATGTGTATACCTCTTTTTTGTTGTTGCAATGGTGTTATTTGAAGTTCTTTTTCATCTGATTTGCTGCATGGAAGTTGATTTCGAGACCATATTTGCGAAATATCCACATGAGAAAGAGGAGAATAATTACACAAGAACATGAATTTCATTTGTATTATATTTCATTTTTTTATGTTCTGTTTGTTTCTAGAGAAAACCTAGGAAAGAAAATTAAAGTCCCATTTTGAATTATGTATTTTATGTTGTTTTTGTTTGCTACAAATGGAATACTCAATTCAGTTTCAACATTTTTAGTTGGCGTCAATGATTGGCTTCTTGCTTGAACACCATTTAATTGGAGAAATTGTGTCATTTGATAATTGGGTGGACATGTGGAAAGGGTACTGAGGAAACTATTAACAGTTTTGATTTAATGATCAGTGGCTTGGGTTTGATCCCTTTTGGTTGCATTAGGTTATGCAAAATTTCGTTCAATAGGTCCTGGAGTGTTGACAAGGGGGTTGTTCCTAGAGGGGAGCCAGAATCATGTGGAGCATCATAGCAAACCCTTCATGTCCTTTCTGGTGCATGTATAAAAAAGAATAGATGTATGTTTGACAGGGTGGGGTTCTGATATATAATGTGAAGCATGTTATGCTGAGTTCGTTCTTTTGTTTGGTTTTGGGGGAAGTATGCACTCTTTGTTGATTTTAGGGGGTTTAAGCTTGGAGATTGATTGTAATTTTATGATATTTTTGCTCATGTAAGATGAAAAGCCAAAATGACCCATGATACTAATTATGAGAAAATCACTTGTATTTTGGGCATTGTTGTTGGCGGTGGAGAACCTGAAGATGTTGTTGTGGTTGGTGCCAACGTTCATGATTCTATTGGTGGTTGAGAAGAACATGTTGGTGATGGAAAAAAATTCAATTAGGTGCTCCACCTATTGCAAGGGTGAGTTCGTTTGCGTTGTTTGTTTTCAAAGCCAAAACTCTTCCCAAATGGGTGTTCAAATGTTGTGACTGCAGATCCAAAAGCTAGAAAAACAGGTGTATTTAGGTTTGATAATAACGGGAACGACGGCTACCAAGCTCCATGGTGTTGAATTTGCTTAGAGGAGAAAGTGGCCTAGCGGTATCGACCTCTTACTTCCCAAAGGGAGGTCAGGGTTTCAAGTCTCAGAAGAGACGTGTGTGTGAGTACCAACTAAGAATAAAGAATAAAGAATAAAAAATAAAAAATAAATAATTAAATTTAATCAAAGTGGTGTATGGTCGATTCATACTTATATTCATTTTGATTCAAAATTCTAATCTATCCTTTCCCTATATATTATAAATATATACATTACGTTGTTATGTAGATGAGTAAGAAAGCACAAAAGAATTGATTGGTTGAAGAATAGGTGTTTTGAGTCAAAATTTCATATGTTTAGGGTTGCTTGTGGTTGATTAGAGAGAGAGAGAGAGAGAGAGAGAGAGAGCGATTGCACAAGTATGAGAAGTTAGAGAAGGTAGGGGAAGGTGCGTACAAGGAGGTGTACGTTGTCCGATTGCTCTCTCACTCACTCTATGACATTTGATTGCTTCTTGTCAAACATGTCGACAAGAACGGCAAGCCCACCGCAAAAACAATACAATCCTCTCAACCTCTTTCACCATTGACTCATTCAAAAATGTATATATATGCATGAATGTGTCCTTGTGTATATACATGTGTGTGACTTCTATATGATTTATATGTGATTGCCAATCCCTCTTCTTTAAATGAACTAAATAATTTGTTTATTCATTTGAAAATGAAGTTCTTGTCTTCATAATTGAATTTGATTCATTTCCATTTATGATGTGATATGCTTCAGCACAAATATATTTGGAATAGTTAAGGAAGATAGAAAGGGTATAATCGTCATTTTATAGAACCCAGTTGAGGATTATAAAGCCATCGACATTAGTTAGTGATGTTAAAAGTGTCTTTATATGTAATGTAAGGACAATATTGGAACATACACATTTTTCATTGGTTGAGAGTCATTTCATATGTTGAGAGTCATTATCTAATGTCTAACTATATGTTGAGAGTCATTTCATATAGCATTAGTTTCTTTGGTTCAATGCCATGTTTTTGTTTGAATATGTTTCAGTTAAAAGAAATATATGGACAATAAATTATTTCAAAACTTGTGAGACCAAACTCTTTTCTTTTTTCTTTTTCTTTTTTTCTCTTAAACTGAATTCTGCTTTCCTTTTTAAAATTTTGTTTCACTTATGCCATCCGAGATAAAAAACAAGTTTAGAAATATAAAAATGTTAGCTATTGTTTGAATCTTATCCAAGTCTTTTTGCTTATTGCACTAACAAACACTTGGATTGTCAAGTGAGTTCAACTATGACAGCAATCACTTTTTGGGAAATAAAGAGCGTTCAATCCCTCCTAATGCTCTATGACTGGTCCAACATTGAATAATGGCCTTTTTGAAGCTCCCCTAGTTTTGGAATACTTGAATGCTGAAACTATGTACTTCCTTTTATGAAATAGAGAAGATAGTGATTTTTGAATTAAGGTAAAGTAATAATTTTTAGAGTAGTGATACTCACACCGAACACTTGCAGGGAATTGCCTAACCGAATAATTTTTAATTGGCTATTTAATTAAATACAACTAAGTGGATGGCTCAACTTCCTTATTTGTTGCATAATTGACCAATTGAAAGAGTAGGTCTAACAATTCACTGCAACTATTCGGTGCAAGAATCATTTTCCTAATTTTTATATTTCCATTAGAATAGGTAAATCATGTTATATGCTATGTAGCTTACACATTAAAAGATGCATCCTCTCCTCTCTTAATATCAAGCTATTTCTTCTAGATGTGGTGATATATATTAGGGGTGAAAGTACGTTCACTGGAGTTCTCATACTTCACTTAACCCTGTCCTCCTTTCTAAATAAATTAAAGTCTGCAGCAGGATAGTGTCAATTCTCTAAGACTTCAACTATATACACATGACAGAGCACTAAAGAAGAACCTTCACAACAAGAAGCTTATGAGACCAGAAGATGGAAGCCATACCCATGAAAATGAGCATGTCTATTACCTGGGAGAGAACTAATGATGAATTAGTGGGGTTGAAATGCTTCACTTCACTGGTGTGCTTTCTCTTCATAAGAACATAATAGCAATGGATGATAAAAATCTATATTAGATTGCTCTCCCCGTGCCTAGTGTCTTGACTGTTCCTCATGCTTAATTTATATCGAAGCTGTTGATTTCCATCTAAATAATTCTGTCATACACAATAACCCCAGCCCCCGGTCTGCATGCCATGCTGCAGATTCCAACTGGAAAAATCCTAAAGGATTCTTTAGATAACAACAATGTTTTCTCCAGTTCTACCATGTTTCATGAATCCATAATAGTTTAATATTCAAATGATATATATTGAAACGCTTGCATATTGCAATTACGTTTTAATGCATTTCCCTAGCAGTGCTCTTTTTAGGGTTCCTAGTAGACATACCTTCGTTTTTTTTTTGGTGTGTATGTGTGTTTGTGTCATTTATTATTTTTCTCTAATTCCCTCTATATTATATATATATATATATATATATATATATATATATATATATATATTGACATTTATGGTGGTTTTATTCTCTGCTTTTATATTAGCTGAAAAATGTCGGCAGCTGGTTGGTGAAGAGGCTTCCTCTAAGAGTGGGCAGTTTACTTTCTTAAACTGTTTTGATGGGGGCTCCGGAACCGTAGCTTGCCTGGTGAAGGAAGGTGTAAAACTATATTTCTACAATATCAGAGCTTCTCATGTTGAGAGGGCAAGGCATCAAGCAATTGAGAAAGCGCTGGTTGATGCTATGTCACAAGGCCTGGCTGCTACAGATGCAGCGAAGCAAGCCCAGAAAGAAGGAGCAAAAGCTGCAAAACTTGCGACCCGACAAGCCAAGCGTATCATTGGCCCTATCATATCCTCGGGATGGGATTTTTTTGAAGCAATTTACTTTGGGGGCACAATGACAGAAGGGTTCCTCAGGGGTTCTGGGACCTTGGTTGGCACCTATGCTGTTGGGTTTCTTGGAGAGCAAAGGTTTGGGAGGTTTGGTTATCTGGTGGGAAGCCAGCTGGGCAGTTGGGTTGGAGGAAGGATTGGACTAATGGTATATGATGTGGTCAATGGAGTACACTACTTTATTCAATTTGTCCAACCGGAAGAAACTAAACTTTATGAATCAACTGCTTTTGAAAGCACCGAAGCTTCTGAGGAGTCCTATGTTAATGAAACTCCTACAGATTTCAGCTCTGAACCTTCTGAAGATCCCAACAACTATGAATCTCCCGTTTATGAGAGCTCTGAAGGGCATGAAGATCTTTAGATGAGGTGAACACAATTCTGTTATTATTACTTCTTCTTTTTTTTTTCAAAATTATGTGTTATTCACTGTAGTTGCAATTCAATTGACTTCATTTGATTTCTATAGAAATCTGTGGATAGTGCTGTTGTACATTTGTATTCATTCTAGCATAGCATTTCTTTTAGTGCCGTTCTGGTTGCACTTACTAAAACATTTTACACAGAAAACAGAACTGCTGGAGATGACATTCGATGCGTGCTAGTTTTCAGAAAACAAAATGAAAATCAAGGATTGAAAATGAGAGGAAACATTAGAAAAATCTTCAAAGAAAAAACATAAAAGGCTACATAACGAGGCCTGTAGGCTGTAGTGAATATTAAAAAAAAGACTCTTTGAAATAAAGACTCTTTCTCTCTCTATTTTTTCTCTCGCTTCTCTCTACCCCCAGCCGCCCCCATCGTTCTCTCCCTTTGTTTTGCTCCCCACCCCCTCCCATGGGGGTGGGGAGGTGCCGATCCTCGCCTCCCAACGCGTAATAAATTCAGCGTGTTGTAAATAGTCGCTCGGTGGGTGGATTTTTACGTTGTTTTGTTGTTGTTTTGTTAGATCTGCTCCTGTTAAGCTTGTTTCTGGCTTGACGGGGTAGATTTGCTTTTTGTTTCCGGCTAGATCTCCGATCTATGTCGGGTTTTGTTGTCCCCGCCTCTTGTGCGGGGTTTGGGGGGTTTCTTCCCCGTCAGCAGCACCTTGTGGATGCAGCCTTGAAGCAGTTGCCTTGACGATGACCTGACCAGTGGGTTACTCCCGTTGCTGCTTTCCTCCCTTGGTGGTTTCCGTTGTTGCGTTGTTTCTCAACAAAGCTAGAGCCCGTTCTTCAGTTTTTATTCTATTGCTTCATGATTTATTTGTCTTTGTACGGCCATTTTTGGCGATCTTTGTAGATGCCGTATGGCTGTTTTTCTTATTGCGAGGGTAAAAAAAATAAAAAAAGGCTGTAGTGAATATTGAATTCTTGTTGTATATAAAATGCTTTCCAACAACCAGCTGGTGGTAACACGAGTGTCACACAGAAGTAATTATAGCACACTGATATTACTATATCAAATTGAATCGGATAGAAGGAAGCACTCATGGCATAAAAGATGGATAAAAGTGATGAGAGGGAAAGAGTTGGGCATATGTTGCTAATTAGATGGAAAGGATTGAAAGTAGTTGTACGTGGAGTCAATTGTGCGGATGGCTTTATTGTATAAATATATATATTACTTGCAGTATCAATCATTCTATTTGCTATGACTTGTGATTTGATACTTGATACTGAGAACCAATAAATAGTAAACCAAAATGCAATATTTTTCCAGGCAATTCTTCTGGGGGCGGCGGCAAGTAATCTGAAGCAGAGGTAAGCTGGTATTTTCTTTCAAGTAGTCTCTAGGTTCTCACAAAGAAGAGATCATCATAGAGCCTCATGATTACCACGGTCTCCCTCATCTTAGAAACCTGAATATCATGAGAGATATTGCATGTTGTACAGGGTTATAAATAATTACAGGTATTTTAAGGTGAGCATGGATGGTTTCGGAAAGGATAATGATGGAGAACGGGACATGGTCTAAGAGCTTGAAGTGCATATGTTTCGCTTTTACTACTGGAGACGTGGAAAGATAGATAGGATTAGGGAAATTTAACATTTTAGTAGTATTAGGATTTGATTAGGGTTCTTCCTTGATGCTTTTATATATGTGAATTGATACATTGAGAAGGGTTATTTTGATGATTATTGAATATTGAATTGAGTGATTACAGATATATTTTCTTACTCTTTCTTCGTCTTCTCTCTCATTCTACATCATTTTTTTATATCGAAGCACCCCTGACCGTCCTGCATCGGATAACTAGCTAGGTATTCTTTTTGACCGGCTGGAGCTGAACAACCAAGTTAAATTAGTTCCCTGCAAATCTCTAAATCAGTGTAAAACAGGAGACCCATATGACCAAGATAAAACCAGTAGCCCAATCTACTAAATATGAAGCCTCATGTTTGGCAGCAAGCATATGATGCCAAGGAAAAACAGGGACTAGAAAAAAAGTGGTTGCAGAAAATTGTCAACTTTTATGGTAATTTGTCAGGGGCACTAAAGTAATTGACTTATTGAAAACAATTTCTGTAATTCTCCTTTAGGTTTATCTTTAAAGTTTCTAGTTTATGCAAGGCTTAGTCAATTGAGGTTTTTGTATGTGCATTTGTTCCTAATTCATTATTTGCTTAGCTTGACTTGTAAGGTTTGGTGTGGCTTGTCTCATGTATTCCTTGTTGTATGGTAATGAAGGGCTTGTTTGGTTCAAATATTTGAAAACAGTTTTAATGAAATAAGTTTTTGAACTCTAGAAACATAGCAGTTTTTGAAAGTTCAATCATCTCCTAAATGTTTGCCACCTTATTGAAATTTGAAAAATAGTTGCTTTTTTAGGCTTTTTTTTAAGCCCTCATGGACTCAAAAGAAGATTTGTGTAACACTATGACAATTGATAACTCCATTTGAGTTTAAAAGGGTTAAACCCTTATCAATTACTGAGCTAAATATGGCATATATTGCTGATTTCTCCAAGCCCAAGTGCTTGGGCCCTTAGGGAAATATTTTCAGAGAACAACAAGCTTGATCACTTAATCAAAAGGATAAGTTATATATCATTATTAAAAACTACATTACCGAAAGAGAGATCGGAGTTAAAACAAGGAACAGTCTCTCTGTATGCATACATAAATAAAAGGCCGCATACATTTAACCTTTTTGAGATTTCGCAATAACAAAAGTCTTGTACACCATGTTAGTCTTTTTATATTATCAAAGAACTTTATTATTACCCTTTCAAATATTTTATTTAAAAAGTAACATAGGAGAATCTCTCTTTTTTAGAATACCACTCAAAGAAAGTTCTTTAGATTATTAAAACCATATTGGATTAGAAGATGAATAAAAGTGAGGATGACTCCAAACAGGCCAATAATGCCACCACAAAATGAAAGAAAAAGCGACTCATGATTAAGAAGACAATGTTAGGATTGGATGGTGAATTGACCATAACACCCACAATGAAATGAAACTGTTCCCAATTGTTCCATTGGATGAAGTAGAGAAAAGAACAAGTCTAATCAGAAAAAGACATTTGATGTCGCGTCTTCTTGTTGCCACACACATATCCTCAACTTCAAGTGGCCACAGTGATTTTGACTTCATTGCTAGCCAAAGAACATGCAATGGGCCACAAAAAAAAAAAAAATGTTCCAATTAAAAAATAATAATTGGTTTGTTTGGTTTGTTCTCTTAAGAGAGTAAAAGATAAAAACAATTGAAATAATAAAGACTTAGTGTTTGTTTATGAGTGTTTTTCGGAAACATTATTTATATAAAGAGTTGAAAAGACCCAATTTAATGAGTACTCTTATCTTCGTTTGATAAAATTGTTTTCCTTTTGATGGACTCGAAAACTATTTGTAGAAGATAGAATCAAACATCTAATCAGTAGTATAAATTTCAACAAACATGTTATCTGAAATATATGGTTGATAGACCCTAATAAAGACTTGTGTTGGTTCAGTTTGTTAAAAACTTTTTTCAAGAATTTATAAAATAAAAAATTAATTTCAGGTAATTATAAAATATATTTTTTTCTGACCCTAATAAAGACTTGTGTTGGTTCAGTTTGTTAAAAAAAAATTTCAAGAATTTATAAAATAAAAAATTAATTTCAGGTAATTATAAAAGATATTTTTTTCTGAAAAAATATCTTCTTCTTTTTTTTTTTAACTGAGTTTTGATAGAAATAATTTTTAAAAATGGTTAACTAAACAAATTTGTGTAAATAAAAATTTAATTTCAGGTAATTATAAAAGATATTTTTCTGAAAAAATATCTTCTTCTTTTTTTTAACTGGGTTTTGATAGAAATAATTTTTAAAAATGGTTAACCAAACAAATTTGTGTACAAATTTTTTTTTTTTTTTTTTAAATTTCATTTGTCAAAAAAATAAAAGAAAATTGAACCAAACTGGTCCTAAGTGCTCTTATTTGTTTTCTCGCAAACACTCACACACACCCATTTTGTTCTATTTGAAAATTCGAACCTTCAACATTTACTTTAAAAGATAAAAAAAATATTATTAAGTTACAAAGTTCTTGATCTCATTTATATAAAAATGATAATGACGGCATTTAGAGACAAATAAATGAATAGTTGTTCCAAATGTATGAACCCACTCTACAAAAAAGCAACCAAAAGATCCAGTGCGTCCAATGACAAAGTTGAGTGGTCGCATTAGTCCTACTGTTACTAGTGAAAGAGTTTGGCCAAAAAAAGAAAGATCAATATATTAAAAGCTTTTTAACTATAAATGAGTTTCCTTTTAACTTAAAAAAAAAAAAAAAAAAAAAAAAAAAAAACTATAAATGAGTTTGAAATGTATCATGTTGAGTTAATGAAATGTCACAATCTCTACTTCCACAAAATTGACTTTTCCATCTTAGTGGTCCCATTTAAAAAATCACTATAGTAGTGGTGTGCCTTGTACAAGTTTTAAGGTCCATCCAACAGTTGCGGTGTAAGGTCAATAGCAACGTGAGGCACTCGATGTTGTTAAGTTTCGATCTTAGTGGTTCCATTTAAAAAAATCACTATACCTGAGTAGTCGTGTGCCTCGCACAAGCTCTAAGGTCCACCGAGCAGCGATAATGTAAGATCAATAGCAATGTGAGACACTCGATAATGTTAAATTTTGAAAATTTTAAAATTAAGGTTGTTAGGATTGAGATAATACGCAGGATCGTTGAGCGGTCTATAGGATCAAAATTGTAGTATTGGATTGAAAATCATAAGATTTTATAAAACTATTAAAAATCAAACTCAAACTGCTTTCTAAATCAAATATATTCGATATAAGTAAAGATTAAGGCTAAATAACCAAATGAGACACTATATCAAAATCAATTAATATTAAAAGATACTATAAGACACATGTCAAACACTTAAAATCAATTTCTTAATTTTCGAAAAAACTCAGCATAACAATCAAGTAAAATCTCATAAAACAAATTAAAGTAAAATCTAAACAAATAGAAGAAAGGGAACAGAGAAGTAGAGAGAGAAAAGTACAATTTAGTTGCCCAATGGTCTTAGAAATTTAGTTGAAAAGTCTACTTTTTGGCTTTAAAAAAAGGAACCAAAAAAAAAAAAAAAAAGATAGAAAGAAGAAGGGAATCAAATGAAATCTCTATTTGTTTTTGTTTCAAGATATGAAAAAATAGAATTAGGTCCTTGTATTGAAAAAGAAAATAAAAGAGAAATTAAGAAAAATGAAACTAAATTGAGAAAATTTTGAAATTTTGAACTGTACTTTTGAAATTCAGAGTTTGATCTTTTACTACATAAAAAGGTATTTTAGTATTAATAAAATGAGAATATCAATTGAACTTTCTCTTTTAACACACACTACTAAGTCCTATCCCGCATATGCACACAGTTGTTCATGTCACTAGCAACGCGAACTGTAACAAATCGGTAACTTGTCCTCTAACCCAAAAACTTAAGTTATTAGGTAGTGTTGCATACTCAGTATATCTATTTCATTTTTCATTCATATATGATGTGGGACGAGGCACATAGAGTTGAGAAGGACACGACTTTTGATTATTCTAATTTTTATATGTATATTATTTAATAATTATAAACTTGCCCACCTTAAAATTGTTTTGAAATGTTTGCCATTTGGCCTTCCCAACCCTTTTTTTACCGTCAACCTTTCTACAGATAAAAATAAAAATTTAAAATAAAAAATCAGTTGATTTATCGACTCTCAGAAAGTATGTAAGGAACTCTAAGCCAATATTGATCTTTCTACAAAATAAGATTTTTAATTTTGTGAAAAAGTGAAAGAAAAAAGGAGTCGGATTTGTCAACAACAATAATTTGTTTGATAAAACATGTATAAACATTAAAATCATAAAACACATTCAAGAGGTGAAAATTCGCTGAGGACAATTATGATATAGTAAATGAAAAAAAAAATTTATAAATTAATATTTTGGTTCAAAAAATTATCTTATAATAAATAATAAAATATACTAACTTTTTACGAGATTTGGGCAAATTAAGCACAAGCAGACCATTCATTATTTATTACTTTGACATCTCTTAAAAAGTGACTTTGAATGTGAAAAGTCACTAATATTCTTATATAATAATAATAATAATAATAATATATTATATTACATTCAATACAAGAGAATGACAAAATTATCATTTTATAAATTTGGTC